AACTCGTTCGATTTGCCTTTAATTGTGCACCAAACGTGTGAAATTAACCCAAATGGGATGGAATTTGTGACTTACGACCAAATTGAGCCTAGAAACAAGTATATCAAATTTGGTGAAAATCTGTTCAGATATAGCTATAGCTTCCATATGTATTGTTCCTCCGAGTTGATATATTTTTTATTTGTTATATAAAGTTTTACTGAATATGCAAATGGGTGTATGGTATCATAAAGTCGACCCTCCCGACATTTAGACTTTCTTGGCTGGTTCATCATGTCCTCATAAAATGCAAAATGAGCAACGGATTCTCTTCCAATTTCAAACATCCCAATATTTGTGTTAACACAAGATCTGACATGAAGATGTTACATATCGAACCACTTATTCTGGTACGTTCCCACATAGGGCTAAAATCTTGAATAATCATGAAGCTCCTAAAACTCGGCACATTCAAATATTTGTATCAACACAAGTTCAGGTGTGTGGATGGAATATGTCGGTCCACTCCTTCTCGTATTTTCCCCATAACGGGTCAAATTTTAAAATAATAATATCTCTCCTAAAATACAATAAAAGGATCCGATTCTCTTCAACTTTTCAAATATCCCAATATATATTTTACACAAAATCTGGTATGAAGATGTTATATATCGGACTACCTTTCTACCATGGGTAAACATTTTGAATAATTACGACTCTCATACAAATACGAAATAAGCACCCGATTCTCTTCAAATTTCACGTATCCAAACAGACATAGATTCGGTACGAAAAAAACTCAACAGCAGTCCGCTCCTTCTGGCACATGCCCCACAAAGGACCAACATTTTCAACATTTATACCACTATACAAGACAAAAAATAAATACAAGGAAAATCGAGCAGATAATGAAAGAAGACCTTAAGAAGAAGACATATGTCTAGGCGTTTTGAAAGCTTACATTGCAAAGTAACCTAAATTGAAGAGGAACGTTTCTCCAAAACTATTAAACGCAGTTTCTTAAAAACTGTGACACCTTTTACCTAAAACGAAATTAAATGTTACTTCAATGCATTAACTCGAAACCAGTAAGGAAAGGTCAAAAGTCGGGCGGGCCCGACTATATGATCTCCTACACCACTATGCGTATATAGTAGAGCTCCCGTAACAAAAAAATTTATATTGGGAATTTTGTGGAGTAGATCATACCAACGATGCGTATCATGGCTGTAGCCACAATTTGTGAACTATATCCAACTCTGAATCGATTTTCAACAAATTTAACGGATGTATTTGTACCAATAGTACCAAATAATATTGCTGTATAGTGCATGATTATATTAAACAAGTAAAAAACATTAAGTTCGGCCGGGTCAAACTTTTAATACCCTCCACCTTAGGGTAGAGTAAATATTAGAAGATATGTGGCACAAAGCATTAAAATGCCGAATATCGGCAGGTACCGTTATATTGGGGCTATACCAAATCGTGGACCTTCTCGTATTTTCCCCATAACGGGTCAAATTTTAAAATAATAATATCTCTCCTAAAATACAATAAAAGGATCCGATTCTCTTCAACTTTTCAAATACCCCAATATATATTTTACACAAAATCTGGTATGAAGATGTTATATATCGGACTACTCTTTCTGGTACCTTTCTACCATGGGTAAACATTTTGAATAATTATGACTCTCATAAAAATACGAAATAAGCACCCGATTCTCTTAAAATTTCACGTATCCAAACATTTTTATTAACGCAAGATCTGGTGTGAAGGTGATAGATATGGGTCTACCTTTTTTGATACCTCTCCTACAAAGCGTAACAATTTTCAACAGTTATATCTCTCATAACATGCGAAGCATGTCGGCGATTCTTTTCAAACTTGGTAAATCTACATATTTTTTTCAATCAGAGATCTGGTGTGAATATACAATTTATCGTCGCACTCATCCTTGTACCTCCCTCAGTGAAGTGGAAGTGAAGTGAAGGAAGTAGTCGATACAGTCCAAATCGTTATCACCTCCATAAAGGGTCAACATTTTGAATATTCATAATGTAAATCAAAATACCTAGATGATATAGACTGAGGATATACATCTTGAAATACGCCTCAGTTTTGTAGCGGTAAAATTATTGCTGAAATATTCCCGAAAATCCTAGCTTTACACTCTCCATCTGAGATGTTTTATTATATTACTTATAATGATAATGCAGAAGAACTCTGAGCTAGATAGAGATATTTGAGGTCCCCTATTGATAGCAGACTTTTGAGTTTAAGTTGAGTTCTATAGAAAAAATGATAGTCCAGAAAATAGATAGATAGATAGATAGATAGATAGAAAATAGTCCAGCTATTCTATAGATATATAAAGGACTGCCTCTGAAGACATTTAAGCAGTTTTTAAAGCTATTGACAACATTTTTCCATTATTTGGTATTTGAGGTCTCCATGGAGTATTTTCACTCCGCACATGTTGTGGCGGAATTGGTTATCATTTAATATCAAGGGTTTCCTTGAGTACATCAACTCTGTACAGAAAAAAAAAAACAAAATGTTGCGTTTCAGCGCTCACCCGGCTCACCAGATTCAAAAAATTGAGAATATTTTAAAAATTGCATTCATGTTGGGACTTTTCGCTAAAACGAAGAAAGTTATCTGAAAATAAACCAAAATCTCATAGAAATCGAACAGACGTAGATTCGGTACGAAAAAAACTCAACAACAGCCTGCTCCTTCTGGCACATGTCCCACAAAGGACCAACATTTTCAACATTTATAACACTATACAAGAAATAATTACAAGGAAAATCGAGCAGATAATGAAAGAAGACCGTAAGAAGAAGGCATATGTATAGGCGTTTTAAAAGTTTACATTGCAAAGTAACCTAAATTTAAGAGGAACGTTTCTCAAAAACTATTTATGTGGAGTAGATCATACCAACGATGGATCTTGTTTGAATGCGTAGCCACAATTTGTGAACTATATCCAACTCTGAATCGTTTTTTAACAAATTTAACGGATGCATTTGTACCTGTAGTACCGAATAATATTGCTGTATAGTGCATGATTATATTAAAAAATATTTATTGAAGCAATAGATATACCGGACCACCAAATGGAAAAATACGGTTAAATATGAAAAAATCCACCCAATTTAGGATGATATTGCATATATGGTGGCAAATAATCGTAAAATCGGATTAAGATGTATATCGAAGGTATATAAAAATCCGAACGATCTCGATAAAATTTGGCAGAATTATTTTCTAGCTGTATCTGATGTTCGGTATCAAATATAGACTTAAAACTCCAAGTCGGGTGAAACATATAAATGGGAGCTAAAGCTATATCTGAACCGATTATCACCAAATTTGATATACTTGTTTCTAGGATGAATTCAGTCGGAATTGCCCAGATTCAGTTTATTTGGGCTGATATTAGCCCTTTGGTGCACAATAAACCTAATATCGGATAACGATGTCGGATATGGAGGCTATATCCAAATCTGATTCGATCTCAATAAAACTTGACAGAGGTATTTATTTTGGGCTATATTTGATATCAGAGATTTTCACCAAATTTGATGTACTTGCTTCTATACTGAATTCGGTTGGATGTGCCAAAATTCAGTTCATTTGGGATGATATTAGCCATTTGGTGCACAATAAATATTAAATCGGATAAAGATATATGTTAGAGTTATATTCAAATCTGATCCGATATCGATAAAATTTGACAGAGGCATTTTTGGGCTGTATTTGATATCTGGTACCAAAGATCAATGTTGTGGAGAGCATATTACGCATATGAGGGACTTAAAATCCCAAATAGGATGAAACATATATATGGGAGCTATAGCTATATATGAATCGATTTTCACCGAATGTACTGCATATGTACTTGCATATATACTGAATTCGGTCGAATGTGCCAAAATTTAGTTCATTTGGGATATCGGATAAAGATATATATGGGAGCTATATCCAAATCTGATCCGATATCGATCAAATTTGGCAAAGGTATTTTTGGGCAATATCTGATACCAAATATTATTCTTGTAGAGTGCAAATCCTGTATGTAAAAAATTGCTATAGGTCTTCTCAGAAATCCGACGTAGATATTTCAGAAGTCTCCTATGTCTTTTGTACAGAAAATAACCATTAGAAAACTTATTCTTTACGAAGAAACTTTAGAAGGCCTTCCTTTTCCAAGTGATGTCTGGCAAATCTTTCTCTTATGGGTAAAACCAATTGCATTTTTTCTCTGAGTGGTTTAGCTCTGGAAACTTTTCTCCATCTATAGAAGATCTATAGAACACCTCTCCCAATAAAATTCTCTAAAAGGTCTTCTCTCATAATAGAAGATCTGTGGGTGGCATCTGAGAGGTATTCTCTGTATAGAAGACGTCTAGAAGACAACTAAATTTCTTCTCACTGAAGAAGATATCTGAGAGGTATTCTTTCTATAGAAGATCTCCAGGATTTGTTTTTACTATTTATGAATTCCTGGCACCTAGAGTAGAATTTTGTGACAAATAATTTTGTAGAATATTTTTCTTGCAACGATCCAGTTTAAAAATAATTTTAACCAGTTTTCAAAAAAGGGCCATAATCCTCGTATTGTTTTCAGTAATGTTGCCAAAGACACCATATATCTAATATGTAGGATATACCTATTGATATTCGGCATTTTGTATGTGATTTCCCGATCTTTGATTCGGTTATGAAATTCATGCACGAGCCACATGACAGCACTAGATCTAAGTTTCAATTCTTGTTCCATGAGAATATGAAACAAATGCCTTTATAAAGGATATCAATTTAACTTGAGCTTTCGTCCTGAATAATGAATTCTGTTAGGGTAGGGAAAGTGAGACATTGTGATTTAGGTAGCGTATCATTTGAATAATCAAACACCTACCCAAACACACGTTCAACTATTTTTCCTTGTATACGTATTCGAATGTTTAATTTTTTTATTTTATTTCCATTGGCGTTTTCCCGAAACTTACCACTTTATGTGAACCTTTGCCTTTTAATGTTGATTTGTCGCCACCAGCTCCAGTGGAACCGCCGCCGACGCCACCAGCTACACTTTGTAAACCAATTTTAACTTTTCTGTCAACAGCAGCCATTTTCAGATTTGGAATACCTTAACACATCAAATATTGGTCGGACTTCGTTAATATAATCATACCAAGTAAATATCTTGTTCCACGAGTTTTTTATTTAGTTTCGACAACAATTGTTTATAAGAAAAAATATATTAAATAAAAATTATTGCAATAGATTTGTTATGGACATTTAATTTCTTTCAATAAATAATAAAATTGTCAAAATGATTTTGACTTTTTTTGGATTTCGTTTGTTTTTTTCTTTCTTTGATTAAAGGAAAACAGAAACAGGTAGGAAACGAAATTGACAATAAAAATCAAACAAATAAAACAATCGAAAAATATTTGTTACTATAGAAATTTAGGGTTATCGATTTGTTGTGCCAACCGGCAAACCCAGCCCCAGCCCACGCTCTGTCGTAATAAACAATGACATGACATGGCAAGATTCTTTTTCAATCCCTTAATGTTTTGAAATGATAATAGCGATTTTTGGGTCCTGGTAAGTAGAGATGTTGCAAAAATTCCTTTTCATCAAATTGATTTGATTCGTAGACAAATGGTTCTCTTGCTTCCATGCTGTATTCCGAGTTTGATGCTATCTGCCCATAGACACTTCCATCGGTTTCGAGTTTAAAGGATTCTTGACTTTGTAAGGGTGAGGTTTGCGGCGATGTCACAAATTCTTTGGGTTTTTGGGAAAGGCATTCTTTTTGCTTTTCACGTTTCGCCAAAACTCGTAGAAGTATTGGATTCCTATATGTGATGAGTTATAGATTGTATATTAAGTTAGCAGTTCAAAAAAAAAAATATTTCAATGAATGGAAAGAGTATATTATGGCTAGACAAATACGGTCTCAGCGAAAATCAATGTAGTCGGAGAGTCAAAAAATTAGAAGAAACCCAAAACCTAGGGAATTTACGTTTCTCTAAAAAAATCCTATAGCTCTTTTCAGAAATCCGACGGCAGATATTTCAGAGGTCTCCTATGTCTTTTGTTTAGAACATTTAGAACATTTATTTTTCAAAATGGTACAATAAAAAGGTAGGGTAGAGCTACCAACTGAGTACAATTTTTTTCTAAGTGTGCCCGACTTCTGCCAATTTTGTGTATGTATTTATTGTTTTGAAAAATGAAAACAAAATATTTTAAAAACCAATGATTGGAAGACACATACATTGCGGCTCGCGCAGTAATGCTATTAACAAGTTTAGCCATGAAATTGAAATATTGGAGAGTTTGGATCTTATTTTTGAGAGAAAATCCAGGCATTTCATTCATTTTTCGCGCTATTTAAAAAAATTGAAAACAACTTGTTGTATATAATTTTGAATGAGTCTGACAGGAAGCGAGCATAGCCTCAGGGCTGTATTTCTGTAGTTTTACGAAGCTGTTCTACCTCCTTATTGTACCATGATTTTTCACAAACAACCTTTAGAAGGCCTCCCTTTTCTAAAAGATGTCTGGGAAAATCTGCTTCTTATGGGTAAAACCAATTGAATTTTTTCTCTGAGTGGGTTAGCTCTGGAAACTTTTCTCCACATGGATAGTATCCTATATATAGAAGATTTCTGAGGAAACCCTTAGAATACAACTAAAAGTTTTTCTTACTAAAGAAAACATCTGAGAGGTATTCTTTATATAGAAGATCTCCAGGAGGTCCTATCTCAGCTATGGGAGATTTTTTCCAAATTTAAGACCTCTGGGAAATTTCAACCTCTGAGAGAAGGCCGTTGGGGTTATCTTCACATAAAAGGTGTCAAAAAATTAGAAGCAGAGAGTATATGCTTGGGGAAAATTGACAAAGCCAAAGAAAGAAGATCGGAAGGTTATCTACCCTCAAAGAGCAGAAAAAATGTTTAACAAAATCAATTGGGAAATAGTATCAATACCCACGAAATAAATTACATCAGAGAGTATCTTAATATAGGTTACCTCTTTAAACTTTTGTACACACTGATGATATCCTATGAACTGAAGACCGCTGAGAGATCCCCTCTCAATAAAAACCTTAAAAAGGTCTTCTCTCACAATAGAAGATCTCTGGGTAGTCTACGCTTAATGAAATATCTACGGAAGTTATTCTGAGTCTGAGAGGTATTCTCTGCATAGAAAGCCTCTAGAAGGTATCTCTCAACGTTAGTCAACTAAAACTTATTCTTACTAAAGATTTCTTCTTTCTGAGAGGTGTTCTTTCTATAAAAGATCTCTTCAAGAGGTGCCATATTTATGTTAGAAGCTTGTGTAGGGTTAACCTACTTTAAAAGGATTTATTTTAAGTATACGTAATGGATATGACAATTTTAATCCAAATCCAGGGGGTAAGCACAATTTTTTGTAAACGTACTGTTATAGGGAAATTTGATACTTGATATGAATATTTTGGTCCTTGACGTCATCATTCTAAAATGATGCTTTGTAGGAGAATTTTGCATAAAGCCACAAGAAGTACGACTTTAAACCTAATATCTGTTTGAAATATTCATGAATTCCTGTTGTTAAGGAAGAGTTGGCCATTCGATTGATTCTGGGACCAAATACCAATTTAGACAAATCCGTGAACAAATTTAGCGAAAATCGTCAAAATACCGAATATCGGGAGGTACAGTTATATGGGAGCTATACCAAAATGTTGGCCGATATATCTCATTTCCAATACCAAACATCCTAAACACAATACAAATTGTTCTGTCCAATTTTTAAGTTCTACATCAAATAATGTGGACTGTACTTTGAATTCCCGGGCCAAACTTTGAATATCCTCCACCATTTGGAAGAAACTTGAAAAATTTCAACAAATTTTAAAAAATTCCATTTAAATGTTGACCTTTATAAGGGGGCTATACGAAGACATGGATATGTTTTGTTTATGAATGTTTAAACATAGGCTGTAATACCCATTACAAACTTCGAAACCGAAACAATTCGGGTGAATTATGTCGCTAAAATCATTAAAATACCGAATATCGGGAGGCACCATTATATGGGAAAACGTCATGGCTCATTTACGAACTTAACCTGACTACAGGCAAAATGAACTTGTGTGCAATATTTTAGACTTCTATTTCAATTCGTTCGAAATATAGCGTGATTACAACAGACAGACGGACACACAGACAGACGTCCTAGAATTTTACGCTCATCCAGAATTTGTAGGGTCTATCATGAATATTTCGAGGAGTTGCAAACGGAATGACAAAGCTAATATACCCCTCATAGCATGGTGGGGGGTAAACAAAATCTGCTGAAAAAATACGTGCGAATTTGTTAAAATATCGAATATTGGGTGCTATACGAAAATATAGACCTGTATAGCCAACTATCTGGCAGAAAATGCGGTACATATTGTAAAATTTTGAGATAACTCCGTTTAAAAATTGGCTAAAAGCGGCAAAATATCGAATATAGGGAGAAATGCGAATGTGGGGAAAAACGATGATGTGGATCCGTACAGGTAATTTTCGGTAGTAGGAAGTGGTACTCATAACGAACTCTAAATACCAAATTTGAAACAATTCAATCGAAAAATGTTACTTAAATTATCAAAATACCGAATACCGTTAGGTACAGTTATTTGGGGGCTATAAAAACAGGTGGGCCTATGTAAACAATTTTCTATCAGAGAAGATAGTCCCTATTGGCAACACCAATCATCAACCTCGAAATATTTCGTTAAACAATGTCGCAAAAATCGACAAAATGCCGAATTTAGGGAGGTACCGGTATTAAGTAGTACCTATTATGAATCCCAAATACTAAATTTGAAAACATTCTGGCAACGGTGTGACACAATTAATCAAAATACGGAATATCGCAAGATACAGTTATATCGGACCTTTACCAAAATGTTGACCTATATGTACATTTTCTGCAAGAACTGTAAATTCTGGATAAAATTGTGACTTATCTACTCATAACACCTTAAATCTGCCCGCATAGTTATATGGGGGCTATACCAAAGCGTGGACCTATACAGCCCACACAGTAAATCTTGCTGTCCTAAAATGAATTCAGTGAAATTTTGTCCACATAATTCACTCCGTTCGGAAGCCAAGGAGATGTTCAAGAAAGGACAGACAGACAGACGGACATGGCTAAGTCGACTAAGAATCTTATGCTAATCAAGAATATATATCGTTTTGTCGGGGAGTTACAAATAGAATGACAAAATTAATATACCCTCCAAAGCGATTTTCTGTAATTCAATTATCTTGCGTAACAGTATAATATAGTCGCCCAGCCCGACTTTTGATTTTTCTTTACGGGTTTTTCGTTCTATCGTAAACAAAATTCGGTTTTCGTAATAATATTTTTACATTCCTGCAGCATCTCAGTTTGCAAAATGTATGGAAAATCTTGAATATGACTTTTGTCTGACGGTCTTTTGATACTTACGTCGTTGTGTTCAACCACTCATCAATGTCCTCATCGGTTTTAGTTTGATCTCCAATATAAGGATTCTGGATAATGAATTTGTTCCTCTTCAAAATCACCGCAATATCTTGCTCAGTTTCTTCATCCAGACCACAGGCGAGGTAATCTAAATTCAATATTTTTTCATTTGAATTCAGTGATAGCATCATCTGATCTGCAGCTTTTGGGCCAATGGGAATAGCGGTAATATCCAAATGCATTAAAACTGAATGTTGCCTCAGCAACTCATGGGCCACACAACAAATGAACCCATCTTCCGATAAATAAGTTATACCTCTCAAATTCAACGAAGAGATATGTGGAGTACCCAAAATATTCGATATCAAAGCATGAAGAGCATCATCATTTATTGGATTACGTGCAAGACCCAAATACTCCAAAGTTCCTTGGGTGTAATGGCTTAAAGTTTCACCCAATGTCCTTAGGGTCTCCTCGCCCAATTGATTTGATTCCAATTCCAGACCACGAATGCTTTGCGTATTTTCAAACAGTTCATATAGGGCATTGCCACAATCATCCATTAGCTGGTCATAGCCAAAGTCCACAGATTCTATTTTCTCGAGGTGTTTTAAACCCCGAATTAGGGTCAAAAGTTTTTCGGCATCCATTCGGCTGTTGCGTAAACGAAATATTCTTAATTGTGGTGCCAAGGATATGCCGCTGGAAAAAATGGAATTTTAGCTCCGATGTCTTTCTTAAAAATATCTAATGAACTCACTAGGCCAAGTTCTTTATATCCTCGTGGGAGAAATTGTAGTGACGCTGATGATATTGCCTACCCTGCAGTGGCCCCGAAAATTCTAAGGTGAAATCTGTCAGGCTCTTCAAGTGTTGTACAAATCTCAGATCAATGTGATGACAGTGTTCGGCAGGGTAATTATAACCCCTCTTGTGTTTTAAATATAGCTCCAGATTTCGACGATCCACAATAAACTGCTCACCATCATCTTCACTTTCGGAAATTTCAATTTCGAAAACACTTTTCGGTAGTTTGTTTTTCTTTTTCTTCTTCTTTTTAAGTTCTTCGGCCGCCTGTTCCTCCTCGTGACGTCTGGCCTCACGTCTCAGACGTCTTTCTTCTTTTTCCTGACGAGCATTGGCTTTGTCTTGTCTAAGAATTTGCCGGGCAATTTTGCGTTGCTCTTTCTCTTCCGCCAATTGTTGGGCCAAGGCTATTTGGGATTCAGTCTTGGCTTTTAGCTCTTCGTCCACATCACCCTCCTCGGAAGTAGGTATGGGTGAATCAGTAATCTCATCATTCGTATCATCATCTTCTTCCGTCGTTGATGAATCCTTTTTCAAACTAAAATATTTCTCAAAGGATCTTTCCATCAGCGACTGCAAACGTTTGATATGCAACTCAAGAACAAATTCCTGTATCTTTTGCAACAATTCTGACATTTCCTCCGCAGGCCAATATTCGGCTGGACAAGCCTCCACCATTTCCACTAGTTTCAAAGAAATTCCCAAATTCTTCCAATTTATATTCGATTGAAGGGACAAACTTTTGTCAGGATGTTTATTTAGCACCAATCTCTTCCAAAATCGTTCCGAGGTTATGTGACAGCATTGGTTTAAGGGCATATCAATATCCAATGAATCATAATGTACCATTAACTTTAAAGGATCATCAGCTATGATGGGCAAGGGATCAGGACCGAATGCCCGGGCCAAACAACGCACTGAGAGATCTGCCAATGTCCCCAAGTTGTAGTTCTCTATAAATAATTCGGGAAAGATTGTTCGTCGTCGTTCCAACTTTTTGACATTCTCCGATGGTCGGTAGAGTTCGTGAACCAAACGCAAATCTGGTTCATTCGGAAATGCGAAGGTATTTACATGTATTGGTGTGGAAAATTCTTCTAGGGATGTTTGTTCTTCCATTTTGTGTTTCAAAAATTTTTATAATTTTTGATTTTTAAAAATAAAAATTGAGTGTTAAAATCTCCAAGTTTATTTTCTAATATTAAAATTGGTCATTCGATTGTTTATTAAAAAACACAATTTCTTTTTTTTAATATTTTCATAAAACGTTTATACATTTTGTTTATTTATATCTAAAAAGAAAGAATACAAAAAATCTTAAAACTAAAAACGCAATTTCTTAATATATTGCACAGACACCTCTGGCAAATGGATGCATATGAAAAATACCATTGGTCCGAAAATTATGAAAAATAAAAACCAAAAATATATGCAAAACCATGTAAAGGCATCCATTCGGATTTTGGGACACACCGGAACTGCAGCGCTAATCTCTGCTTACAAACGAATGGATGACTAAATTCTTGTATTAAATTTAAAAAAACACACACAGACTTAAAATTTATAATATCACTTGACCTGATTGGTATGCAGTAGTTGTAGTTAACATTCAAATCGATATTCAAAATAATGAATATAATAACATTTGAAATAAAAGAAAAATAATACAGGTAACTTTTGTTTGGAGATATGAAAAAATATATAAAGTATTTCAAATGAAATGCATTGATAATATTTGATGTAAAGGCTAAATATATATAATATGTAAGTAATAAGGATGCCGAATGACTACTCAGCTGAACAAGGGGGGATTTACAGGTCGCCTATGGATGCCACCTGAAATGAAACCAAATGAAATTATTTATTAATATTATTTTTTACTTATAAGATATTACAAAATTAAATCTTATTTTAAATTCAACAACAAACAAAAATTAAACAAAAACAAGTAAAAAATATTAAATTCAGCCGGGCCGAACTTTTAATACCTCCTACCTTTTAATCAACCTTTGGGTAAAGAAAACATTTTTAAATAAAAGTGTCTGAATTCAAACGTGTTCCACTTTAAACTACAAATACCAGTAAAACCGTTTGGATAATGATGTTAAACTTTACAAAAACCCATAAAGTAGGTCAGGTCATTGTATGGGAGCCATACCAAAACGGGAACATCCATGGACGATTTTATACTTCAAAGATTGTCATTTACCAAATCTTCTTAAATACCAAATTTGAAACAATTTCGTGGGTAAATGTGAAAAGGATTATCAAAATATCGAATATCGCTGAGTATCGTTATATGCGCAATGTTCTGCCGCCGGAGCTAGAACCCATTATGACCTACATATATCAAATTTTAGACAAATCCGTCGAAAAATGTGGCAAAGATTATCAAAACACCGAAAATAAGGAGGTACCGTTACATTGGACCTATACTAAAACATGACCTACATATACTATGTTCTACCACAGGAGCTAGAACCCACTATGACCTACAAATACCAAAAAAAATGTGGCAAAAATTATCAAAATACCGAAAAACGGGAGATACCGTCTTATGGGAGCTATACAAAAACGTGGACCTATATATACTATGTTCTGCTCCCGGCGCTAGAACCTATTGTGAACTAAAGATAACAATTTTTAGAAAAATCCGCGAATAAATGTGGAAAAAATCATAAAAACACCGAATATCGGAAGGTGCCGTTATATAGGAAATATTCCAAAACGTGGACCTATATATACTCTGTTCCGCTACCAATCCCAGAACCTATGACGAACTACAAATACCAATCTTTACACAAATCCGTGGAAAATTTTGGCAAAAATCATGAAAATACCGAATAAAGGAAGGTACTTTTATTTAAGGCCTATACAAAAACCACAGGAGCTAGAACCCATTGCCAACTACAAATGCCAATTTTTAGACAAATCCGTGGATAAATGTGCAAAAATCATCAAAGTACTGAATATCGGGAAGTAACGTTATAAGACGGCTATTCCAAAACGGGAACCGATATATCTCATTTTCAACACCAACCATCCTAGACACAATAAATACAAAGCTTTTCGTCAAATAATGTGGGCTGTATCGTGTTTTCAACAGACAGACGGGCATCGTCAAATCGACTTAGAATTTCATGCTGATCATGCGGTCTTTATGCGGTCTACGACGATTTTTTAGGGATGCTACAAACCGAATACAAAGTTAATATACCCTCCTGTACACTATAGATAAAGACAAAAGTATTAAATTTAGCATATTGCATACTTTTAGGCGCTTTCCACAATTTCTTGAAAGCGTAAAATACTGTGTCACTTTAGCCATATCCGTCTGTCTGTAGGCCCTTTTAAAGACAGAGGATTGATACTGAACGGAAAATATCGATCCTCCATGTGACGGTACCTCGTGATATTCGGTATTTAAGAGGTTTCAGCCAAACAAATCAGTTGTGATTTGAGCTTTGGGTTCCCAGTGGTTCGATTCATTGCTAGCAAAATATATGCAATGCAGGTCCGAACGTTGGTGCCGCCCCTTTATAATAGCCACTCCTGATTTTCGATATTTTGAAGGTTTCTACCTCAGTTTCCAACTCAATAAGCTGAAATTCGATATTTCGGGCTTTGTTTTAACTTCTCAGCTCATATAACAGGATTTTAAAATTTTAGGGTTCCTAAGGGTAATTAGACTAAAGTTTGAGTTCTCACAAAGTAGGATACACGGTAAAATGAAGTCACGGTAGACTGAGTTAGAGAAAGTTGCAAGTAAAGAGATCTACCTCTATGGATTGTAATGTCAGAATTACTATCATGAAACTATTAAAAATTGCAAAACTTGTAGATTCTTTCAGGTTCTTGCATTTTTATTATTTCGGAAAATACAACACAGAGCTGCAAAATGCAATCATTTGCAACATTTTTTACTACCCAGGAATTTATTCGTAGTTCAGCTTTTTTGGAGAAAAAATTTAAAAAAGGTTATTTTCTCATTTGGCTCATTTTTATACTCTCCACCATACAATGTCACTCCGTTTATAACTCCTCAAAATATTCATATCAGACCCAACAAAGTATATACATTTTTGATCAGCGTAAAATACCAAGTCGATTTAGCGATGTTCGTCGGTTGTAATCACTTTTCATCTTTTGAACGAATTGAGATAAAAGGCTAAAAATTTCCCCAAATGTGTATTTTACCAGGCGTCCGTTCGTAAATGGGCCATGCCGGTCCAGATTTTCGTAAAGCACCCATATAATGATATCTCTCAATATTCGGTATTTTTATGATTTTAGCGACGTTATTAATCAAAATTGTTTCAAATTTCGTATTTTAAGCTCGTAATGAATAATTTAAAATAATTTAAATTATGGGCAACAAATTGTAAAATGTTGAGATAAGACTGTATTGTCCTACCATTTTAGATTCAATCTTGTGGAATAACGCCGAAATTCCATTCTTGTTTCGGGGGTTGTTCCTAATATAAGAATTTTGTAAACAAAAAATAAAAATAAACAAACTGTTGTATATTTAACAGTCTTTTTACATTATAAGACTCCAGCACAGAGTTGCATTTTTCTACTTGAGCAACCTTTCTTATTGAGCTATGAATGGAGTGGACCGATTGGCGCAAAACGGATTATACTTTCTCTTTCTGTGCAGTGAAATATTTTTTTTGAAAATTTGTTTTTTTTTTGTTTTGAGGTGCCGAAGGAGTGGACCAATATTTCCCATCTCCGAACTCGATCTAAGTTTTCCAAAAACATTACGATGTACCAAGTTTGGACCAAATCTGATACTCCATTCGAGAGTTATCGTGCGCACCAGCCAGTAGGCAGATAGACCGACTTACACCGCTGGATCGACTCCAAATATCCTGAAACGGATTTGGTCCAAAGAGACCTAGGGTCTAAAACCGTTATCTCGACTAGGCAGATTTTGGCCGTATCAAATTATAAATATCCTCTGTAGCTATATGGCTGAGTGTATAAAAAATGCCAAGGTATCCAGTCTAATTTATTGTTGTTTTCCATTATAATTTATCCATAAAAATTAATTATTTTTTTTATTAAATAATTACATACCCACATTTTATGTTTCGATACCCAGCTCGATGGTTTTTGTTTTCGTTCAGTTCTGTTTTTCGTTGAGGTTTTTTCAGAGATAACAACGTCTTTTGGTTATTCTATTCGATTTGGTACTAAATGACGTTTGGCCAAGCGAACAACAAAAAAACAAAACAAACAATGACTTCGTTTATACCAGGGCTAGGCAAAGAGTATCCCTTGGGATGTCTGTGTGTTCACCAACACAATTGTAAAAAATAACTTGTTTTGAGTTTTCTGTCAAAATGGTTTTGGGAGAATATTTAGTATTGTTCGAGCAGTCGATGAGGAATGTGCTGTCGGATATTTTTATGAATGCACCGTAAGAAATAATTGTGTACATAAATGTACATTTTCAGGAAGCTTTAAAGATTTTTCTTCTTTAATTGAATTTTTTATTGGCTTTGCAATATTTGGTTCAAATCAAATGCACTTTTCAACACTTTTGAATATTTAATTTTTATTTCTGAAACAGGTGTGACAAAGATGGTCATGGACTTATTTGGGTTTTGATTTGGTCACACAAAGAAATATTTCCAGTTTCATTTCGATAGTGATTAAGAAAGATTCTATATATCATTTTGTTCTGCACATAAAAAATGGCTGAGGACATTGAATATGAATTTTTATTCGCCGAAAATTATTTTGTGAAACTAGAATGCTTGGTTTGCCAACGCACGTTATCTCGGTCGATGCCTTATTATTTGAAAAGGCATTATATATCCTGTCACGGACAATATCGTAATTTTACTGACGAGGAAAAAACGTCATTAATTCTCAAATTAAAAAAACCTTTTTATGAAAGGTTTATTTTGGATTATAAGGAGGACAGATTAGCAAAAACCTCTGATGACGAATTCCTCCTAAGAAAAGCATCCTTTGTTGTATTTGCGGCATTAGCTAAACAATGCCGTCCATTTGTTGACGGTATGTTTTTCAAAGAACTTTCTTTGGAAATTTTGCATGTTTTTTGGGGAGAAAACGCAATTAATTCAGAGAAATACCCAAAGATAAAAAGAGAAATTATGAAAATATATTCAATGTTTGGGTCCACATATTTATGTGAATCTACATTTTCTTATTTAAAAATCATAAAAAGTAAATCCAGGAACTCCCTTACAGATAACCATATTGAAAATTTATTGCGCATTAAATGTTGTCCATACCAATTAAACATTGATGAAATAGTTGAACCAGTAATGTAAATTCAAGATTAAATGTATTTCTGAAGCAACAAAATTGTTTACTAAATTTAGATTCCATAAAAAAACTTCCATTTAATCTATAATAATTCTCTTTATGTACACGTCTTCTTTAAATATTTATTTTGAATAAATTAATAATTTTGTTATTACTCATATTATTATCATTATTTTAATAATTTTCATTTCCATAATTTGATAAAACTTCGTCACCTTAAATATTTTTTGCATCATTCGTGTTATCTATTCTCTTACAAAATAATTTATAGTTTATTTAATAGTTTTAATATAACAGCGTTTTTTTTTAATGAGTTGAAAAGTTTAAGTTGCTATGAAACCTGAAATATAAAAATCAAAAAAAACCAACAAAATATTTCTCAATGTGCAAAGAGAGCCAAAAAAACACTTGCAATATTTTGTTATTTCAAAACACATACAATCACAAAAAATTTTTGATGCTCTCTGCCTAGCCCTGCAATAAACACAAATCATGGGCAATACACAATGGGATTGTGTTTGAGAATAAACGGATTATTGTAGAAGTGTAATCTGACTTCTGATATATAGGTAAATACATGATTTTTATCTACTAGGAGGCGCAAAAGTAATCCTCCTATCAGAAAATGCTATAAATTTTACGATTGGCCCCTAATGTCTTAACATGGTACAATAAGGAGGTAGAACAGCTTCGTAAAACTACATAAATACAGCCCTGAGGCAACGCCCGCTTCCTGTCAGAATAATTCAAAATTATATCTAACAAGTTGTTTTCATTTATTTGATATTTTTTGTTAATTTTTAAAATGAGTCAAATAGCTCGAAAGATGAATGAAATGCCTGGATATTCTCTCAAAAATATGATCCTAAGTTTTCAGTCTTTCAATTCCGTGGCATATCTGGTTAATATCATTAGTGAGCGCCCCGCAATTTAAGCTTCCTCCATTCATTGATTTTGAACAAATTTTGTTTTTATTTTTCAAAACAATAAATACAGACACAAAATTGTCATAAGTCGGGCACACTTAGAAAAAAATTTTAATCAGCTGGTAGCTCTACCATACCTTTTTATTGTACCATGGTCTTAATAGCAGCCAAAACAAACCGGAATGACTGTCAAGAACATATGCATGTACAAGGTGGCCCAAAAGTAAACTTCCGATGTTTCTTGGCTGTAATTAAGACATTAGGGCCCAATCGTAAAATATATCGCATTTTCTTGATGGGAGGATTACTTTTGCGCCACCTTGTAAGATATAATTACTTTGTAGGGCCAGGCAAATGTAGGCACGAGTGAACATAATGAGCGTAATTCTCTCCACACAGACAAGCATAAACAAGCCCTATTTAATAGACATTCCAATTAGCCCAGCTGATTTCGGCCATTATCTCAAAATACAATTGTCTATATTTGGAATTCGCGTAAACAGTGAAAAGTTGTCAACATACAATAGGTCTGTTTGGTTACTTGTCCTGCAGGAATTATTTAATAGTTTCTTTCTGAAAGTGTAACGCGGTTTTATTAGCTAGAAAACTGTGAAAACTAAACAGACGGAATGTCAACATAAACTTACAAGCAATTAGATGGTTTGTCAAAAACGAAGCAATTTGTCCGCCATAAAATGCACACAAATATTTATAATGAACCGAGGACAAAAAAGTAGATTTGAGATTTTCAAAGTAAAAATAATTAACCTACCCAAATATAAATCACCAGAAGGAGAAGAGGAAGAGTTACAAAAAGAAATTTGTCCAGCAAGAATTTGCAAACTCAGTGAAAGAACTGTGAAAATTTGTTTATCGAATCGCTCGCTTTTGCAGAACTTTTGTGTTAACAGACGACTTTCAGCAAAGTCGGGCACAAATTGCCAAAAACAAAATTAAGGAGGCAAAGTCATTTCATATAAGACTACCAATCCCTGTATTTTCTATAATGTTTATATTTAACATTTTTGTTGCATACTTTCAGGCGATCGCCACAATTGATGTGTGCCATAATTTTGCCAGCAAAAACTACTTAGTAACGTATAATAATTATTATTTAAGATTAACCCACTGGGTTTAATAGATCCAGTGCGCTAACCCTGTGAATTTAGATCAGGGCTAGGCAGAGAAATCCAAAATTATTTTGTGATTGTATGTGTTTTGAAATAAAAATATTGCAAGTGTTTCTTGCCTCTCTATACATAGTGAGAAATATTTTGTTAGATTTTTTTTATACCCTCCACCATACTATGGAGGGTATATTAATTTTGTCATTCCGTTTGTAACTCCTCGAAATATTCATGTCAGACCCAACAAAGTATATATATTCTTGATCAGCGTAAAATTCTAAGACGATTTAGCCATGTCCGTCTGTCTGTCCGCCTGTCTGTCTGTCTGTTGTAATCACGCTATCTTTCGAATAAATTGAGATAGAAGGCAAAAATTTTGCACACATGTATTTTTTCCCAGTAGGCAGGTTAAGTTCGTAAATGGGCCATGTAGGTCCAAGTTATCATATAGCCCCCATATAACGGTACCTCCCGATATTCGGTATTTTGATGATTTTAGCGACATTATTCACCGGAATTATTTCAAATTTGGCATTTGAAGTTTGTAATGGATGCTACAGCCTAAGACAGAAAATTATCTGTGCAGGTCCACGTCTTCCTGTAGGCCCCATATAACGTAACCCCTGGTATTCGGTTTTTTGATGATTTTAGCGACATTGTTTACCGGAATCGTTTCAAATTTGGTATTTGAAGTTCGTAATGGATACTACATCCTAAACCAAAAAATGAGCCATGTAGGTCCACGCCTTCATATAGCCCCCATATAACTGTACCCCCCGATATTCGGTATTTTTATGATTTTAGCGACATTGTTTACCGGAATCGTTTCAAATTTGGTATTTGAAGTTCGTAATGGATACTTCATCCAAAGTCAAAGAATGAGCCATGTAGGTCCACGTCTTCATATAGCCCCCATATAACGGTACCCCCCGATATTCGGTATTTTAATGATTTTAGCGACGTTATTTACAGGTATTGTTTCAAATTTCGTATGTGAAGTTCGTAATGGATACTTCAGCCCATGCCAGAAAATTGTCTGTGCAAGTCCACGTCTTCGTATAGCCCCCATATAACGGTACCCCCCATATTCGGTATTTTGACGATTTTAGCTGCATTATAAACAGATTTTTCTTCAAGTTTCGCATTTAAATATTGTAATAATTTATGACAAAAGTTGCCTATGCAGGCCCACGTCGTCGTATAAGCATTCGGTATTTTTAAGATTTTAACAGAATTTTTAAAGGGTTTTATTTTTTGGAAATTGCCAAATTTGTACCAAATGGGGGAGGGTATTAAAAGTTCGGCCCGGCCGAACTTACAGCTTTTTTACTTGTTTAATTTTATATCTGTTATCGTAAAATACATTTTTTGAAAAAAAAAATCGATGTTATATTTGCACAATTAAATATTCTATAAATTATTTTGGAAGATAATAAATAACACGAATGATGAAAATAAAAATAAATAAATATAAGGTGACGTTCTCATAAAGTTCTATTACATTATAGAAACTATGTATATTGAGATAATGGTTTAAGCAAAATTATAAATAAGTAACCCGCCAAAAATCCGCCATTTTTATATATATATATGTAAGACAAAGGCATGACATGGCCATCTTTGTCACATCTTCTTTCAAAATCAAAATTAAATATCTAAAGGTGCTGAAGTGTGTATATAACCCAAACATTCCACCAATAATAAATCTGTAAAGTTTTCTGCAAAAAAAAAATTAGGAAGTTATATTTACGTACACCTAAATTTCTAATGGGGTATTCAGAAAATTATCCGGTAGCACCTACCTTATCGACTGCTCGAATAAAACTAAATATTCTTCCAAAACCATTTTGACACGAAATTAACATCCGATTCCATTCAGCAAATTGGCAATTCTCAATATTTTTATCAACACAAGATCTGCCATAAAAATGGCAGAGATCGGATCATTGCTTCGGGTACCTCCCCCACAAACGGGCTACGTTTCGAATAACCACAACGATTATTAAATCGGAACTAAACAGCCGGTTCTCTTCATACTTCAAACATCCCATTATTTTTACTAACACAAGATCTTCTGAGAAGATGGAATGTATCGGTCCGCTCTTCTGGTACCTCACCCACAAAGGCTCAAAATTTTGAATAACCAAAACGATCATAAAATCCGAAATAAACATCCGGTTCACTTCAAATTTCACACATTCCATTATTTTTACTTACATTAGATCGCGAAATAAGCATACAAATGTCATCAAATTTCCCACATCTACACATGATAGATATCTGCCCACCCGTTCTGGTACCTCAACCCCAAAGAGACACAATTTCCAAAACTTATATCTGTCGTAATTTCGAAACAAGTCGGCGATTCTATACAACTTGCTATATTAGGCAGAAATCTGTTATAAATATGCAATTAATCGGAATTTATGATTCCGTATAAAATTGGATATACATTTTAAATTTTGCACGTGCCAATATTTTTATCATTTGTACAAAATAACATTTGCACAGAATAACATGTGAAAGGCAGCTTAACTGCAAAGGATGCAGGAAAAATACAACTCTGTACGCGAGTTTTATTGTGTCAAATAAACTTTTAAAGCATGCTACAATTGGCTTTGTTTATTTTACTATTATTTCAAATTCTTAGAATGGGGGAAAACTTACAAAACATTAATGAAATGTTGAGGTTATTCTACGGAATTGAGTTCAAGACAGAAAGACGACAAAATTGAAAAACAGATAATTTCATAGGACACTTAAGTCTTAAACCTAATAGTTTTGTAATATAGTCTTGTAAAATCAAGCCAGAACAATACGCTACCACTTCCAAAACCACTTCAGACAAGATGTAAAACTACTCTGGAAATAGCGAATACCATATATTTATTACATGGTAGAAGAATACAGGTAATATGTTTTGGTTTGGAAAAGATTCTTAAAATTATAGAAGTTATTGTGTGTATGTAAACATACGACCCCTTGATTATAGATTATGATAAAGGGCATTTTATTTAAAAGTACTTGTCCAAATTATTATTTCGGAACACCAAACAAAATCATTTTTAAATCCATTCGCAATAAAATACCAATGAACTACCATGAACGCCAATTGTTATGGGTAATTAACTCAAATACCGATTTCGATCTTTGTCGTTGATGGCGGTCATTTATTTTATTTGTTTAAAATTCATCGAAATTTCAAATTAGTTTCAAATCCGCGTTCAATATGAACTACCAACGGATATTACGCATAGCCAGTGGATATCTACTTTTTACGGGCTATCAAATTCGTACTTTGGATGTTAAAAGTCAACGATATCGTGTATCCTTATGGAGTGTGCTGTACTTTGTGGGTCTCCTTATCATTTATTTGATTTGCTTTGGACATCACTTCGAAGAATCGGCTTTGTTAAAAATCACCTTTGATTTATCACCATTTCTGAAACATCTACTGCTGTTTCAAATATGGTTAGGACTGAAAACTTTTGTTTTTTGCATGATTGAGTGGAAATTTTTGACAAAAGTTTTCAATGGATTGCTGGTGGTGTTGGTGGGCACAAAGGCTCCTCAAAAAGTGTCTACGGCGAAAAAAGTTATCCGCGAAGAGTTATTGACATATTTGATATTTTTCTCCACCCTTTTTGTTGCCTTTGCTTTTGGTTTATACATAGCCATAGAAATGAAATTTGAATTACCTCCCATGGACCACATAATGATTGCCTTGGCATTATTTATGCCCCACTTTATGGTGGCTGGAGCTCTAAGATTCCACACTTTGTCTCTGTGGCTTTTGCGAACGAAATTATCGGAATACAAAGATCAGCTGATAATTCAAGACCCAATAAGCCAAAAATCAAACGTAATCGTAGAAATTATAAATCCTGTTTTGAAAACCGATCTAGAGGAGAATAGGAATCCAAATGAGGAGTTCTCATCCATGGATGAAATTATTAAAAATGATGAATTAGAAGTGAACAAGACACCAGTGGAAGATATAACTCCTATGGATATTTATCGATATGTCTCCGAAGGAGTTAATGGCATTGCCAGGTACTTGAGTTCCACCAATAAAATCCTTCAAAGACAATTATTAATTTTGAACGGTCTCAACTACAATTGCCTGCTCTATGGCATCTATACGAAATTGTATTTTGAAAAATCTTGGCATCTCATATTTACCGATCGCAATCGCCGTGTCTTTTATGCTGCTAATTCGGTCATATTTGTTTGCATATTTTTGGATTATCTCTTTTTGACCATGACGCTGTTGAGTTTTAGGAAAACGGTAAGTTTGAAAAGTGGAAATTGCATAACGTATTCATATACCTTTTGTTTTAAATCACAATAGTTCGCCAATAAGGAAAATCGAACTAAATGTCAAAATTTCTTTGCTTTTCATTTGCTGTTTGTTTGGTTTTTGTACTGCGATTTCAATCACAATAATACATCTTTAAACTAAATTTGGTAATCAGCTGGGCCATGGAACATGACACGGTCTACTTATTAGGCCATCCGATAAGACAAGCTGATTTCATCCGTTTTGTCAAAATAGATGCAGTTGTAAATTAGACGTATGAAAACGTAATCAAGAAAACTAGTAGAAATGTCAGAAATAGATGGTATTTCATCATAATAACATTTTCAGACAATTTGGGTGTTATTTTTTGCCAGGTAAAATATTTTTGAGGAGAACATCTCATTAAAAATATATGTACGCATAGAACAATTACAGAAGGTAGGACAAAGCTACCACCTAAATACATTTTTTGTCTCTTGTGCCCCTATTCTGTCAAAACATACACACCTTTTGAATCATAGTACAATGAAATAAAGGTCACCTCATTTCAAATTGGCATTCCCAGCTCTGCATTTTTTTAATTTACCTTGTCAAATCTCAATGCATAAAAAACATTTCCCACCTCTGATTTTGTGTGTATTCAATGAATTTATGAATATAGATTTTGACAATAAGATGTTGTCAAATGTATAAATGAAGATGTTGTCATAGGTATAAATTTAAAAAAATTATAAACATATGATTACATGACTTTACCTTCTTAGTTCTAAAATGGTTTGAATAAAAAATACAATTTTCAGTTGAAAAATAAATACCAATTTTCCAAGTTAGGGTGGAAATACATAAAGCGCTTATCTGGCTGGCTTAAGTCATCGGCTGACTTCTTCGGAAATGAACAAAGGAGCCTAGGGCCAAAATCGAACTATGTCAACCTAAAACTACTTTGTTCATCTACGAAGAAGCAAGCCGATGACTTAAGCCAGCCAAATATGCTCTTTATGTATTTGCAGCCTTACTGATCAACAAATTGTACAATTTTTAGATAAAACATTATTGTCCTACTATTTTAGATTCAATTTTGTGGAATAACCACTCATGTTTTGCGTTTTTCCCCAACATAAGAATTTTGTTAAAAAAAACGTAAAATAAACAAAATCAATTGTTGTATATTTAAAAGATTATTTGACACTATAAGACTCCGACACAGAGTTATATTTTTCCTAGTTTCTTGAAGTTGAGCAACTTTTTTGATTGAGCCATGTATGAACGTACTTAATAGTATTATCAAGTTTACACCCTGTGTTAACAAAAAAAACCGAAAGTTTATGAAAATGAAATGAGTTATGGAAAAGAAGGGAGTCGAATAAGGTAAAAAAGTTATTCAAATTTGTAAAAATTGTTGAAAAACGCGCATTATAGCCTCCGCTTGACGTCGTATAAAAAAAACATATAAAAAGCTACTTATATTTGAAAAAAAAAAAACATTTTAAAATTTTTAGACTTATCATGGTAGAAGAATACAGATAGATGCATCAACGCTTCGGAACACTGAAATGTCAGAATTTTTTAATGATTTCCTATAGGACTCCTATCAGTGGTTGTTAAGAAAAGCATTAAAAAATTACAAATTTAAATAATTTTCATTTAAAGTTTTCAATTTCAAAATTACAGTTAATTGTCTCATCAGCTGTGTCGATGCGTCTACCTGTATTGTTCTACCACGGGACTTACACGAGTAAAATCATAAAATTCTTCGTTTTTAAGGCACTATCAGACGAAATGCTATTTACACTTTCATTATCCCTGTATATTTCCCTCTGTATATCAAAATTTGATTCACAATAGCTCCGTTTCCGTATTTTTTTTTTTTGTGATAAGGTTAGCAAAAGAGTGAACTGTCGTGAATTGTTGTAATATGCTCTTAGAGAAGTGGTTAAAAAGGTTCGGGAAAGAAAAAGTGAGCAAAAGTATTTTCAAAAATATTGTTATTTTGTTTGTTTTATTATAACGCGTTTAGATACAGATCCATTCAACTAAATTTATCATAAAAAGTAGATATTCTGACAACCAGATTTATTTTAAATCTGGTGTGGAATCTACATACTAACCATGGTAAAAGAATACAGGTAGCTGCATCAACGCTTCTTAAAAAGTAAGTAGATTTGTATATGTTTTCCTATACGACGCCAATCGGAGGCTGTTATGATATGAATCTTTGAACTATTTTTTTACAAATATGAATAATTTTTTTTATTCAAAAAGTTCTAATACAAAATTGGTTTGACAGTTCATTGTCCCAGCAGCTGGGTCGATGCGGCTAGCTGCATCTACCATGATACTAAGGGAAAGCATCCCTGGGCACGGCAATACAGGTAGATGCATCAACGCTTGGGAACATTGATGTCAAATAATTGTATATGTCTTTTCAGATATATGTAGATTTTTATACGTTTTCTTATACGACGTCATTCGGAAGTTAGTATAATACGCGTTTTCAACAATTTTTATACCCTCCACCGGTAGGGTATATTAATTTTGTCATTCCGTTTGTAACTCCTTGAAATACTCATGTCAGACCCAACAAAGTATATATATTCTTGATCAGAGTAAAATTCTAAGACGATTTAGCCATGTCCGTCTGTCTGTCCGTCTGTCTGTTGTAATCACGCTATCTTTCGAACAAATAGAGATAGAAGGCTAAAATTTTGCAAACATGTATATTTTGCCAGTAGGCAGGTTAAGTTCGTAAATGGGCCATGTAGGTCCAAGAAATCATATAGCCCCCATATAACGGTACCTCCCGATATTCGGTATTTTGATGATTTTAGCGACATTGTTTACCGGAATCGTTTCAAAGTTGGTATTTGAAGTTCGTAATGGATACTACAGCCTAAGACAGAAAATAACCTATGTAGGTCTACGTCTTCGTATAGCCCCCATATAATGGTACCCCCGATATTCGGTATTTTGATGATTTTAGCGACATTATTTAACGGAATCGTTCCAAATTTGGTATTTGAAGTTCGTAATGGATTCGTAATCCTAAGTCAAAAAATGAGCCATGTAGGTCCACGTCCTCATATAGCCCCCATATAACGGTAGCCCCGATATTCGGTATTTTGATGATTTTAGCGACATTATTTAGCGAAATCGTTCCAAATTTGGTATTTGAAGTTCGTAATAGATACTGCAGCATAAAACAGAAAATGGGCCATATAGGTCCAAGTCTTCATATAGCCCCCATATACCGTACCACCCGATATTTGGTATGTTGATGATTTTAGCGACATTATTTACCGGAATTGTTTCAAATACGGCATGTGAAGGTCGTAATGGATACTTCAGCCCATGCCAGAAAATTGTCTGTGCAGGTCCACGTCTTCGTATAACCCCCATATAACGGTACCCCCCATATACGGTATTTTAATGATTTTAGCTACATTATAAACAGATTTTTCTTCAAGTTTCGCATTTAAATATTGTAATAACTTATGACAAAACTTGCCTATGCAGGCCCCGTCGTCGTATAAGCATTCGGAATTCTTAAGATATTAACAGAATTTTTAACGGATTTTATTTTTTGGAAATTGCCAAATTTTGTACCAAATGGTGGAGGGTATTAAAAGTTCGGCCCGGCCGAACTTACAGCTTTTTTACTTGTTACAAATTAAAATAATTTTTCATTCAAAATTTTCAATACCAAAATGGGTTTGGCAGGTCATTGTGCCAGCAGTTGTGTCGATGTGCCTACCTATATTCTTCTACCATGGCACAGCTTTAGTGGGGTATAATATATAAGTCGCAAATGTTCCTGCCAAGGCGTTGCTTATATTTTGCATTCGAACAATAATAAAAATAATTATGTGTTTATTACTCTTTCAAGACGAGCTTAATGATCTGAAAGCCAGATGGACACGCTCACCACTATGAGTTTGTTAAGCTGTTCATCAGGTATATTTGGTATTGATGATGGTTCACAAGGGCCATTCTCTGGAAGTAGTATTTATTTCGAACTCATTACAATTAAGCATTTGCGAATTAAACACCAGAATCAAAAGCAAATTTTCTTCACAGCAAAGTTTATTTTTGGGGTGATGGAATTTTTGTTAACTATAACTACATTGTTTGCACTATTGCATACACCTGTTATAGTGCTGCTGTAGGAAGACGGGTTAATGGCTCTGAACATTGAGACGGTAACTTCTAGTCCACGGCTCAAAGCCCACAGCCAGGCTCGGCTGAATTTTTAATTTTTGAGTTTTGCCTTGTTAAGCCGATGGTCATATTTTAGGTTACCTTAATTTAGTTAGTGAGTTTAGTCATTAAATAAATGGTACAATAAGGAGGTAGAACAGCTTCGTAAAACTAGAGAAATACAGCCCTGAGGCTATGTCAGTTTCCTGTCAAATTTGCATGCAACATATTGTTTTCATTCATCCAACATTTTTCCTCACTTTTAAAATCAGTTAAACAGCGAGGAAAATGAATGAAATGCCTGAATGTGCTTTCAAAAATATGATCTAGACAGATCTATCTTTCAATTCCATGGTCAAACTGGCGAATAGCTTTAATACGCGTCTCCCAATTTACACGTCTTCCAATCATTGATTTTGAAAATATTATGTTTTTATTTTTCAAAACAATAAATACATACACAAAATTGGCAGAAGTCGGGCACACTTAGAAAAATATTGTAATCAGCTGTTAGCTCTACCTTACCTTTTTATTGTACCATGATTTCCTTTGGATTCTTACAAAACACATATAATTATAATTTTTTTCATTTTAATTTTTTTTTCGATTTCAGAAAAGTGGGTTTTATAAGATGATCAATAAAAAAATTGAGACCAAAACATTATCAGAGGACAAATTGACTATTTTAAAAGACCTCAAACGTGGTTTGAAGAAAGAAATGAATTTAAAGCTGTTCAATATTGTCGACTTCAAAATATGGAACTTTGTTATTGTAAGATACACAAATGGCTTATGCCATGTTTACGTTAGAACTTTTTGTAGGGTTAACCCACTTTGAGAGGATTTATTTGAAGTAAAAGTAATGGGTATGACAATTTAAATCCAAATCCAGTGGGTTAACCCTCATATATATAAACGTACTATTACCGAAAATAGTATTATAATCATGAAATAATTGTTGCTTTCATTTCAGATTCAATTACTGATGTTACTGTCAATAGCTGTCACAGTGTTATATCAATATTTTAATGATCAAATTGTGGAACTAATGCATATTGTGGAGAGCAGTAGCGACGAATGAAACCAATCCAGGACTATATTAATTAAGTCTATAACATACATATAAATATTATTTCAAATTAAAAATGTTAACACTACTGTAACTATACCTTTGATCCAGTATCTGCAAGTAACCGTTACCATAACCAAAAAAGCATATTTAATTTGAAAACTAGCGGATATGATATGGTAGAACTAGAAAAGTATCCTCATGTAATAGTTTTTTTACAATTTTTTAAACTATACTTTTGACAACATCTCAGTGAAGTCAAAATTACAGAAAATGCAGACCTGGATATGCTTATTTGAAATGACATTACCTTGCATTAATTGTACCATGCTGCTGGAAATAAACTGCGCAAAAGATTTGAATTATTTTTTATTTTGAAGGATTGTATTTTCTTTCTCTTTGAGTGTCTTTCATGCTCATAGTTTTACTTGTTTTACCAATAAAATAAGTGCGGGAATCAAAAGTATTAATGTGGCAAATATTTGTAAATCTGTTTTTGGTAATAAATATCTTACGAATAAAATATATGAGTTCATGAACAACACAATTGGGTGTGTTTATTAATTTTTCAATAAATAACTTCAATACAATTAAAAATGTATTACATTTAAGGCAGTACCAAAAACTGCAAGGGTATTCGTGAAGGCGTTGTTTACACTTTGACAAAAACTTAAAACACAAAAACTTAAAATTATATTTGCTTACGATAGTTTTTTGAAAGACGCATTAATTTCCTTGCAAACACTCACCAAAGTAAATGAATATTTTTTTGTCTCCAATTTTTTTTTTTTTTTGCGCCATTTTGGCTTTTTTTGTTTTTTTGATTCACCAGCTCAGCGACTATTCTCTCTTTCTATGGATATATGTAGACACACAGTGCTAAACCACTAGATCTTATAATAAATATTATTATGAATAAATATTTTACGAATAAAATATATGAGTTCATGAACAACACAATTGGGTGTGTATATTAATTTTTCAATAAATAACTGCAATACAATTAAAAATGTATTACATTTTAGGCAATACCAAAAATTGCAAGGGTATTCGTGAGGGCGTTGTTTACACTTTGACAAAAACTTAAAACAACAACAAAAACTTAATATTATATTTCCTCACGATAGTATATTGAAAGATGCATTAATTTCCTTGCAAATACTCACCAAAGTAAATGAATATTTTTTTCAAAATTGTTTTGCCTCCAAATTTGTTTTTTTTTTCTGCGCCATCATATTTCATAATTTTTTCATCTCATCGAAAATTCTCTCTTTCTATGGATATATGCATGGTACAATGATATCAAGGTAGGGCTATGATACCATATGATTTCAATTTTTTTATTTTCTTGGCCTAATATGTCATCTTTTTTTGTTTATGTATGTGTTTTCTTTTTAATAACAAAAAAATTGTTCAGAAATCATTCAAATTCGGATGTTTTCAAAATGTTTATTTCATCGTATGCATCGACAAAATCTAGAGTTTTTGTAGCGAAATAATCCTTTAGAGATATATAGAACCTGGTTTTGAAAATAAGTGTTGACCTTTCATTCAGTTTTCGCGGTTTTCAATTATTTATTCAAAATAAATGCAACAAGTTGTTCGATTTTTTATTGTTTTGATACTAATTCTAACATTACAAGCCAATCAGGTAGATCTCTATACTTGTAATTTTTTCAAAGTTGACCTACCTTCTCTTCATTGTACCATGGATATATGTAGGCACACAGTGTTAACCCACTATATCTAATAATCCCTGTGGGCAACCTTTATAAAACGTACGTAAACGTACTTTAACTAAACGATTCGGGCGAAAACGGTTGGCAACACTATCTTAGTGACTCTTTTATAATTTTTATCTGGCAATGCCATTTTATCCAACTTCTAACGCCGTAACTTCATACGCACTTAACTCGGTTTTCTTAGGCTTCATAAACAAGCGGCATTTGTTTGACAATCGTGTGTATGCAAAAAAAAATCACGTAGAAAATAGTGATTTTGAAAGAAAGTAGTGTTCAAAAATCTTTGAAATCTCTACAGATACAGCAGCAAAATGAGTTCCGGCAACATGCTATACGGTGGTGATGAAATTGGTGCATTAGTCTTTGATCCGGGGCATCACTCACTGCGTGTGGGTTATGCCCAAGAGGATACACCTAAAGCGGAAATACCCTCTGTTGTGGGAGTTGGACCAAGTGTACCAGATACAAATATGGATTTGGAAACCAAAGCTGATAATAATGTGACACAGAATAGTAAGTCATGAAAATTACCCTTATCGGCTTTAAAGTTAATCGTGTTCTCTTTACAGACGCTCCATCACACAAATATTATGTGGATACAACCTATATAAATGTACCACGTTCCCAAATGGAGATCCAAACTTATATGAAGGATGGCATGATCGATAATTGGGATTTATTTGAAAAAGTAATAGACTATGCCTATGCCAAGGTAATACAATCTGAACCAGAATATCACCCAGTATTGTTTTCGGAGGCCTCGTGGAATGTGCGCAACAATCGTGAAAAGCTGACAGAACTAATGTTTGAGAAGTACAATGTACCGGCTTTCTTTTTGGTGAAAAATGCAGTTTTGGCTGCTTTTGCCAGCGGCAGAGCAACAGCCTTGGTTGTAGATAGCGGTGCCACCCATACCTCTGCCGTGCCGGTACATGAAGGTTATGTGCTGTCACAGGCCGTTGTTAAGTCACCTTTGGGTGGAGATTACCTTTCCATGCAATGTCGTCAGCACTTGGAAAAGATTGGCATCGATTTAACACCATCCTATCAAATTGCTTCCAAAGATGTAGTCAAGGAAAGAGATAATCCACGTTTCACAACACGTAAAATACCAGATAATTTAACTCAGTCATGGCAAAACTATATGCAAAAATTACTGCTGCAAGATTTTCAAATGAATATTTTACAAGTTTTGGAGAATCCATATGATGAAAGGGTGGCATCACAAATACCTACCGTGCACTATGAATTTCCAACGGGCTACCACCAGGAGTTCGGCTCAGAACGTTTCAAACTGGCTGAAAGTCTATTCGATCATGCACCATTGGGTGCCGGACAATTGGCGTCGACAAGTGTTGGCATGTGTGATGCTGATGTACGTCTATCCCTGTACGGTTCTGTGGTGGTAACAGGTAAGTTCGCTTAACAATGATGAAGGCTAATTTCGTACCAATAAGGATGAAAACGCATTATTCAATTTTAAATTGGGAAATTTGGACAGTTCCAAAATGCGTGTAGGAATTTCATCAAGTACTAAATGGGGGCTTGGTAAAAACGTTACGCCATTTATTATCGAGGTATTTTATTCGTCAATAAGAGCCACTACGATTCGGAATGATGTTTAAATTGGACGGTACTCTATGCTTGGTTTTGAAATTCCAAACATTTTAGTAGTAAAATTTCAACGCAGAGAAATATTGCAAGTTCTATAGTGACTCATGTGATAACATGATCAACGAGTCTACACTCCAAAGGGTTTTCCCATAAAAGTGGTTAAGGCAAATTTAATGTAGGAGTGAAATTTCAACGCTCTATGAGAAATATTGCAAGCTCTCATGTAATAACATGAACTTTTACGCTGATCAACGAGTCTACACTCCAAAGGGGTTTTCCATAAAAAGTGTTAAGGCAAATTTTAAAAAGTTCAAAATTTTTCACCATATTTTTAACAGTAAACAAAAACCAAAAAACATTTTGAAGTTTTTATTTCGATCATTGGTTTAGAAATACCAAATTAAAAATGATATTTTTGGAAATTTGGAACCCTATATCTCGGGAAGTATTGATTTACCCCAAAAATTTATGTCGCTGTGATAACGATGACAAGATCTACCTTCGGTAAGAATTTTAGAATTTTCCGCCAGCTGGAGCTTAACTCAATTTGTTTCGCTTAAACATTTTCCTGACGCCAATAATTACGAATAAAACTTGGTATGTTAAAGTATTAATTGCTCCCATATTTTAAACTAATTTAAAAAAAAAATCTTCCAGTTTTGCTTTCAATGTAATTGTTCTTTCTCTTTTACAGGGGGAAACACACTACTACAAGGCTTCCCCGAACGATTGAATCGTGATCTGCAGCTACGCGCACCATCTAATACACGTCTGAAAATGATTTCTGCAAATGGCAGTGTTGAGCGAAGATTCGGCGCCTGGATAGGAGGCTCAATATTAGCTTCCATTGGTACATTCCAACAAATGTGGATATCATCTCAGGAATATGAAGAATCGGGTAAAAGTCAAGTTGAAAGAAAATGTCCTTAAGATAGATTAACTTCTGAAAACAGTGGGTACGACAACATAAATTGATAATACAAGGGGGAATTAAGTAATATAAGCACGACAAATAAAATGGGATTTATAACTTATATAACTGGTTGTTGTTTCTTTGTGGGGTTTATTAAAAATAAATGCATTTCTTATTGCATAAAAATAAAACATCAGCTTGAAATGGAAGATATAAATACTAAACAGCAATTGACTTCAGTTTCATTTGCCTCCCATGGTATTGTTAACAACGAATTGCTGAAAAATACATAAATTAATGTCAATACGTTTTGTTAAGTGATTTTATATTAACACTAACCTTGGCCTCTGTAATTGCCTCTGACCAATCATCTTCCGCCACCTTCACAACAGCCTTAACCAATATTTGTTTGACTTTTTCCACATTCTCCGAAAATGTTTTTAAAACATCTTGCACATTGACACTTTCATGACCCTCACGCCAACAATCGTAATCTGTAGCAATTGCGACAGCAGCATACATTAAACCAGCCTCTTTAGCCAATACGACTTCGGGACACGTGGTCATGTTGATAAGATCACCACCCCATTGACGGAACATATTACTTTCGGCACGTGAAGAGAATCTTGGACCTTCTATTGTTACCATTGTTGCCTTATCGTGGACATTAAAACCTAATTCCTTTACGGTTTTTAATAAAATTTGTCGGCAACGTTCATTGAATGCTGGATACATGGGCAAGTGGCAAACACCTTTAGGGCTTTCTTCTCCACCATCGTGGAATGTTTGACAACGCTTTGTGGTGCGATCAATAAAATCGTTTGGTATAGCCAAGGTGCCTGGTTTAATTTCTTCACGCAATGAACCGCATGCTGTGGATACCAAAAGATGTGTACAACCTGCTTGCCTCAAGGCCCAAATATTTGCACGATAATTAACATTTGAGGGCATAATATTGTGTTTACGACCGTGACGTGCCAACAGTACACATTTGACACCTTGAATTTCACCCTCGATCAGGACATCGGAGGGATCACCATATGGTGTGGTCACTGTTGTTTCATGGCGATTCTCCAAAATATCTGGATCATCTAAACCCGACCCGCCAATTATACCAATCTGAAAATAAATGTTTTGAAACAAGTTAGTTTTGAAAAAAAAAAAAAAAAAAAATAGAGAAATAAATTGGGGTTTGTTCCTTCGTTTCTCTTGCATTTAGCACAAAAGACGCTATTTATTTAGAGGATATGCTTGCATGTCATTTAGATCCTAGATAATTATGCCACTTTTAAATATTAAAAGGCTTTCTTTAATGTTAGACTCTGATTGTACTATCACCACCGTATCTGATGTAAACTTAATTTCATAGAGACGGCGTCCATCAGTAACAGGGAAGATGGAAGAGGAATATGTCACTTCCCCTTCAATATTAATTCAATAAATTTGTATATGTGAATCTGGACTATTGATCATCCAAGGCCATAATTAATAATTACTCAAATATCTTAATGGAAAGCCCCATATATGGTTATTTCAAAGCTTCTTCCCTTTTACTTCTCTCTTCCATTACAAATACACTTTCCGATATTACTCAAATATCTTAATGGAAAGCGCCATATATGGTTATTTTAAAGCTTCTTCCCATTCACTTCTCTCTTCCATTACAACTACACTTTCGATATTTTCGGTTGGGCTCATGTTTATTTTTTGCCGGTAGGCATCTTTTCAATATTGTCGTTCGTGGCCTACGAACTTTATACCAACTTCTCACCTTGATTTGTTGAGATGACATTCTGCGCTGCCTCTTATGTGCCAGTTTCTTGGATGGTCAAAACACAATTAAAAAGAATAATTCTATAATTCTATGTAATAATCTAACGAAACTCTTCCTTCCGCAAAAGTTCAGTTTCTTGATAACCTATTACAGAGCTGCCAAGCTTAGCAAATTCTAATTGGAAAATTATGGCAACGCTGTTTGAAACAATTCCTATCAAATAAAAAGCGTTCCAAGCCATTTTTAAAGTGCCCCGTACACGGTCAAAATGCATGGCATGCAATTTTATGCATGAATAAAAATCAAAAAATTTTTGAATTTTTTTTGTGCATGACGCTCGATTTTGACGTGTGTGCGGTTGAGGGATCATGCTTTTTCTCATTTGCGACGTTTTTCACAGCGAATTGTTTACAAGCGTAAAAAAGCATTTTGGTGGGAATTTTCTAGAAAAAAAGTTACTCGTGATGGAATTCAGGCGTGATAGTGTGATTTCTTTACATTTGGCTGGAAAAACACAAGTGGCTATCATTAGAGCACTATAGCATTTAAATGTGAATAAATCTTTTGTGACTCGTACCATCGCTCCTGGACGGAAGTTCTGGAGGGTGTATTAAAGCCTTGGGCACACAAACGTTTTGGTCGCAGACCTTGGACATTCCAAAAGGACTCAGCACCATCGCACTCAGCACTCGCCACAGTAGAATGGTTACAAAATGAGTTTCCACGCTTCATTTCCAGCGCACAATGGCCACCAAAATCTGCGGATATAAATCCGTTGGACTATTGTGTCTGGAGTATTTTGGAAACCAAGGTTGGCGCCATGGTAGAAGAATGTAGGTAGACGCATCGACACAGCTGCTGGTACAATGAACTGTCAAACCAATTTTGGAATTGAAAATGTTGAATGAAAAATTATTTAAATTTGACGTCGTATAAGAAAACATATTAAAATCTACTTATATTTAAAAAGACATTAAAATTTTTTGACATATCAATGCTCCCAAGCGCTCACCCTGTAGATGTCGGATACTGAGAAGAAATACTTTTGAGTTGTTGGAAGTTTAACGGTTGTCGCAATCACTTTGGGATGCTAAATGTGAAAAATATAGCAATCGGCTTATTAAAGTAAATCAATCGTCCCTATTATGGTTGTCGTCGACGTCGCTAAATGAAGTGGAGGCATGGTAGAAGAATATAGGTAGTTGCATCAACGCTTGGGAACATTGATATGTCAAATTTTTTAAAATGTTGTATCAAATATAAGTATTTTTTAAATGTTTTCCTATACGACGCAATTCGGAGTTTGTTATAATACGCATATTTGAACAATTTTTACAAATTTCAATAATTTTTCATTCAACATTTTCAATTCCAAAATCGGGTTGACAGTTCATTGTCCCAACAGCTGTGTCGATGCGACTACCTGTATTCTTCTACCATGAAGTGGAGGTGACAATAATTATATTAGAGTTGTCGTTTTTTGTCGATAGCTACAATATGCAGTGTCCTCGGTGGCAACACTGCTATCAATAGTCGAGTACTCGGTTTTCACCCGTAGTCGAGTTCGGCAAACGATAGTAGCAACTAGTTCCGCGCTCTTTAGTGAAGATGTTCAATTTTCTCATGTCCCATTCGTAAACAAAGAGTATCCGGAGTCTTTGCTTTCGGGTATTTTTTATCGGGTATTCCATTGTAACCTCCATATTCGTACGAACTAGTTCCGGGCTCTTTTAGTGAACATGTTCAATTTTCTCATGTCTCATTCGTAAACGAGTACTCCGAGTCTTTGCTTTCGTTTATTTTTTATCGGGTATTCCATTGTAACCTTCATATTCGTACGAACTAGTTCCGCGCTCTTTAGTGAAGATGTTCAATTTTCTCATGTCTCATTCGTAAACAACAGAGTACCCCGAGTCTTTGCTTTCATTTTATTTTTTATCGGGTATTCCTTTGTGACCTTCATATTCGTTTCGTTACGTTCATTAAACACATCTTGCAAACACATTGTTCATTAAACACATCTTTAATAAACAATCTTACAAATACATCATATACATCATGGTGGGTGGCGATGGTGGCCGTGGCATTCAAGTTCTCAACATTTCCAATGTTAATGCCCAGGGCAAGACTGTTCTGAATGATGGCAAGCTGTTGGAGTTGATACAACAATATCCCTTTATCTACAATCCTCGAGTGAGGTCCTACGGAGACCCAGACTATACGATGTGGGCATGGAAACGTATTAATGCTGCCTTTAATCGTAGCTATGAAAACGATCCCTTTGCGGCATTTTCTATATCCGATTTAATTAGTCGCTGGCAAGTTTTAAAACCTTTAATACAATGCCTGAGCAAGGCATATGATCTACAGGCCATACCCAGCTCTTTAAGGCAATCTGTGCTGCACATCAATGCTGAATTGGAGGATCCAAGATCGAATTCAAATCCGAAATCCAATAACCCGGCCCAGAATCTTTTACAAGACTACATGCCAGAAATTGCTGAATTGCCGCTGGAAAAACGTTTAGCCCTGGAGAAAGATATCTTGGAGGTATTATTCCGGACTGAATTGGATAGTAAACAGGTGAAAATGCTAGATTTCAACGAGGCGAAACAAGCCAATCATGAAGCTGATGACTTGCTTAATGATATCGGTTTCAAAGCCGTCTTCGAAAGAGCATGGAAACAAAGAAGACTAATGAATAACAACACAGATGTTGCAAAACAACTATATGGTATCAATCCAGCAAGATTAGTTCGCTTATCGGAGGCCCACAAGCATATACGGCCGTGTTATGTTAATGTTAAGCGCATGAATTTGGAAGATTATCTTCCATTGGCACAGATTAAGAAATTCTATAGTAAAAGATAGTTGTGAAGATAAATAACCCTGTGCAATAGGGTAAGAGAACCGGAACCGGTCTGAGTATTTTCACAAGCATGTTCGTCACCAAACTGATTTCGAGCTCCAACTAAGGCATAGTGTTATTTTTCTATAACGAATTGTAGCTCCTACAAACTAATAAATAATATAAATGTAAGTTTTAATTGAATAAGTTATGTATAAGAAAGATTTTGCCATTGAATAAAATAATCTACACTTTATCTCAAAAGTTATTCTTTCACACCTGATGGCATTTATTAGCTTCTAATTCATCTTATGATAATATTAATAAATTATAAAACGAATCCGAAAACTTGGAGGTAATATTTAACAATAATGGCATGAGGACTACATCTGGCACCATATTTTTGTTTGTCTACATGAGGGAGGAAGATCTTACTGAGTATATGAAGAAATCGTCACCCCACAGGCCAGAAACTCACACTTAATAATTGAATTGTTCTCAAAACTGGTGGAAACAATGTTGAAAGTCAACGTGATTGTCGAAGTGAGCTTCAATATGGACATCTAAGCTTAATTTAGTAGACATTATTGGTAGAAACGGCTAAATATCTGTTTTTAGAGCTAGACCCCCAGTCAAAATTTTTATAACCTCCACCATTCTGTGGAGGGTATATTAACTTTGTCATTCCGCTTGTCACTCCTCGAAATATTTATAATAGACCCTACAAAGTATATATCAGCGTAAAATTCTAAGACGATCTAGCTATGTTCGTCCGTCTCCCTGTTGTAATCACGCTATCTTTCGAACGAAATGAGATAGAAGGCTAAAATTTTGCATACATGCATAGTTTACCAGTAGGCAGGTTAAGTTCGTAAATGGGCCATGTCGGCCACGTTTTCGTATAGCCCCATATAACGGTATCTCCCGATATTCGGTGTTTTGATGATTTCAGTAACATTATTCACCGGAATCGTTTCAAATTTCGTATTAGTAGATCTTAATGGTTACTACAACCTATGGAAAAAAATCGTATGCAGGTCCACGTCTTCGTATAGCCCCTATATAACGGTACCTTCCGATATTCGGAAGTTCGTAATGGGTGATACAGCCCATGACAAAAAATTTTTGTATGCAGGTTCACATCTACGAATGTCCCCCATATGATGGTACCTCCCGATATTCGGTATTTTGATGATTTTATCGACATTTTCACCGGATTGTTTCAAATTTGGTATTTGAAGTTCGTAATGGGTACTACAGCCTATGACAAAAATTTTCGTAATCAAGTCCACGTCTTCGTATAGCCTCATTTAAGTAATAGTCTCCGGAAGTTTTTTGACTTTTTTTAAGTTCCTTTCAAATGGTGGAAGGTATTAAAAGTTCAACCCGGCCGAACTTACCTGCTTTATTATTTGGCAGAGGAATCCAACGCCAATGTTTAAACCGTAAAACAAGACTGTTACTTTTCTCCATGAAATTTTTATCCTATTTGTTAATTGTTTGCATCTTTATTGTATTTCCCTGATGATTACTGTTGAAAACAGTCGAAAATCCCTAAAGTCTAAACAAGATTAAATTTATTTTAGTTTTAAGAAACTCGCGTTCATGTAGGAAATTGTTGTATTATCAATATCAAAAAGGAAAAATCGGTTGTCGCAATTAAAATTTTTTACATTCTTGCAGTTCTGGAACAGAACAAGACTGAGTGCTTCTCACTTGGTATTCAATCAGTTTAATATTATATACTGTATAACATATAAAATTAGCATTAGTCCCAGAAATGCATTTCAAACCCATTTCGTGGAGTCCCAACTACTTGCAATAATCTAAATGTACAAAAAATGTCAGAAAAGTAATCACCAGCGTACATCAATGTTACTAACGGTAGTAGCCGCTCCTAAAATTGAAAAAGAAAGTCAAATCATTATATTATGGTATTATAAATTAGATTTTTCTTTATTCATAACAATGCTGCCTTTATGTTTTTCAATTGTAACATTTTTATGATTTCATTTTTTCTTTTTGTATTATTGTTTTACGGCAATAAAAATGCATTATACCAACAAAACAAAATGCGAAAACAAAAATAAAAACAATTACAATTACAAAATATGTGTTTGTTTTTTTATGTAAAAAAATAACTTTTCGTTTTACAACGGCTGGCGGTTGGCAGCAAGTTTTTTTTTATCCCGGTATAGTTTTTTCGTAGTTCGTTATATGTTTTCAACATGTTATATACACAATAAATGTTACTACTTAAGGGTGTTTTAAACATTTTTATTTATGACAGTAATTAATTACATTGTTGGTGTCTTTAAGTTATTGTATAATGATTTATGCACGAAAGTAGGAAACTTATAAGCTTGTTTAGCATAGAAAAGTATACGTGGAAAATCATTGTGATTGTGCTGAATATAACCAAAAGTTAACTTGGGACCAATTTGAACTATCCGTTCAGGATTTGTTTTGAAAAAGCCTGATTGATACTTCCGGTGGAAAGAAAATTACTGGATTATACAGCATCAAACACATCCGTTAGTCTGACTGATAATCTTCTGTACTAGGTTATCGTTGCACTGGAAACTGATGGTGACCGAAAACGTTATGGAAGCAGATTTCTAATCATCGATAATTTCTAGGATGTGGACGAGAAACAAAATATGTAGAGCAACGTTAGATCTAGCAGGCCTAGGAGTCATAAACCTGGTGATGAGTCACACGCTATTCACTGAATTCTTGTAAGAAAGTTTGGACCTCATCACGCATTTCTAGACACTAAACAATTCAGATGCAGCAATGCATCCAAGACTTCGGACAACTGCGACATATTTCAAGTGGTCATCTTTGCAATCAGTAGACAACTGACTAATGGAATCATTGAATTGGCTATCCGTTTACTACAACGCATAGATGCATTAAAAGTTCGCATATTAGGAAACAAATTGGCAGATGAATAGACAACTTACGCGTGTGAGTCAAAAACTTGGTGAAGCCATTGTTCCATTTGATTCAATTGATAAAAACAGTTTAGTGAAAATGTGTAAATTCGACTGAATGTAGGGTGTCAAAGGCAATTTGGAACTGCCAAACATTTCTCCACCCTCTCGAATAAACTCCTCCTTAAAACTTGTGTGGGCTTCACTATACGGCTTAGAAGTTCAAATCTGATACAATTGAACACTTAATGTGCCACAATTCACAGCTTCTACATCTTTCCTATTCCCAAATTTCTCATTTCGTCCTTGGATCAACACGATGGACCAAAGGTCTCCGAGTGAAGCAATTCAATCCCATCCAAAGCATTTTAAAAAATACTTAAACTAATAGGAGACGAGTAAAGGATCCAAAACTTCTTCAAATGGTTTATTCTGATTTGCGCTTATCAACTCTACAAACATCTTGCAAGATGATCTGTTACGATTTTATAAAGCTTGTCTTACGGAAATAAAATATTTCGTACTGATCATATTTTGTTCACCATTTGGTTATCAACGGACCATTATCTGGCTTCTCAATATTGCCTTTAAATTTTTTTTTTCTCGAGGCTACTGAACATAAACTCCAAATTCCTCTTCAGAACATTTCAATTGTGGTGTAGGTTGTCTTAGACGCTAACTCAACATGGGAGTCCTGGATATTGTAAAGCTGACAAATGTTTTAAGAGATTTCATATGAAAAACTTGTGATATTGCTGTAGTAACGATTTCAAAAAACTATAAAAAATTGAAACTGACACAGAGGCTGCTCGGAAATTAGGTTGAAAACACACAAAAAACACTTGATCAGATATTCAAATGTATGATCTATGTTTAAAAACCGTCAAATGATCAAATAGAATGATATTTTGACCGTACCTAATATATGAATAGGAAAATATGCTGTCCAGAGACTCCCCTAAATAGACAGTAGAATCTACGGTCCGGAGCCACTTATTTTTCTCGCCAAGTACTCTCCACCCAAAGTACCCTAGCAGAACTGTTACATAGCAACAAATATTGCCTAGACAAAACAGTTGGTCTGTTCCAGAACTGCAAGAATGTAAAAGTTTTTACCACCATAACCGATTTTGCCTTTATGATATCGAAAAAAAAAAATTGCAAAACTAGTGATTCTTGCAGGTACTGGAACAGAGCAAGTATTTTGTGGGACAATGTTTATTATTGTTCTGCTTCTACAACGTGGCAGACAAAGTTTCAATTATTTTAGTTATTTTCAATCACAGATAAAATATGCTTTCCATGATTTTATAATCGTTAGACTTGACTTCTTATAAATTATATAAATAACATTTATACTAATATCGAATTATGTATATCAATATCAGTGGCGGATTATTCGGTATTGGATTATTTTCATTAAGTAGAATAAAATTGTTCATATTGTAGAGTTTTTTTTTCACAAGCAATACTGGCAATAAATAAAAATACCAACAAAAAAGACTAAAAATCAATTAAAAACGAATTCATTATTTTACATTTTACGAAAACTATAAATAAATATTTAATTTCGTTTACATTATTTGATTTGTTTTTCTCTTTTAAACTTAAACAAAATACAAGTATTTTTCTACAAAACAAAAAAAGTTTGCTATTACAACCTCGTCGTCATTGTCGCCAGCAGTAAAGCGTCTACTAAATTCCATTATTTTACGCTTTCGTGTGGTGAAAATATTCTTTAACTTGATCGTTTTTCATCTCATTTATATATTATTATTACTAATGAACTTATATTTGATTATTTTACAAACTTCAAACTAATTAACACAATTAAAAATAAAAATTAAATGATATACAAACGCGCATAGATGTAAACCAATAATTAATTAAAAATAATTAAATATATATAAAAATAAAATAAAAACAAAACAAAAATATATGTATCTATGTATATGTTTAGCAGGAACGAAAAGGTAGATAGAGGATGTAATTGTTGTTGATGTTATCGATAATAAGGTACTTTAACAAAATGACAACTGGATTTGGGATCTTCTTTCATCAATCGTCCTTCACTCATTATTTCTAAAATAATTGATCGGCTAAAGTACCAATAAATGTGGCTAAATTCATGGCAGAACCTTCTTTAAACTTAAGGCCAACAGTTTTCCCATACGCCTGTATGAAAATAGCTCTAACGGCATTTAAACGTTTTTTACGCCTGAAAAGCAGAGAGGGAAATAGAATTATTTATTAACACTTAATTCAACTTTGGGAATAATTGTTATGTGAGTTTAAAACAAGAAAAGATAATTTTGAAGAATGGATTAAGGATAGTAAATGGTGTCCACAGAATGGATTTATTTTGAAATTTATATCTTCCTATTTCGTACAGTAGTTTACTTTAAATGAAATACATTAAAAGTTAATTAACAATTTTATACTAATTTTTTTCCTTTTTTAAATTGTGAGTAAAGCTTTAAGTCTAATTTAAATAGACATACATATGTGGTAATGTGTACTTACATTATTGTTGACGTTTTACTCGAACCATTCATCAGATCCTTATCGTTGATACCATTCGTTAGGAAATTTAGTGCACCGCCACCGTTACCGCCATTGTTTATACCATTACTACTTAAACTGGCATTGCTGCCATTACTGGGTGTATTTGAATGGCAATTGTAGCCATTTCCTGTCGTACTTCCGTTTCCTGTCATTACGTAGTGACCACTGTTACACGATGTTATCGATATATTATCCGGTTGTTGTTGTGATATAAAATGCATCATATAACTGCCATTCATCATGGAATCAATTGATCCGGTGTCGGTAACCACTTGCCAACTACCATTCGATGATGTGGACTCTTGTCGTTGACGTGTAGCGCTAACACCTGGCACTGATATAGGACTAGTTTTTGATCTGTAACATATAAAAGGGGAAACAACATGTTTATTTTACTATGCGTAAGACAATGAAACCATAATGGTCTGTCATGTAATAGTGCTTTACATGAATCACATTAAGTGCATGGTTTTTCAATTAATGTTTTTCCTTTTTATTCGAACTTTTTATATTTTAATGAAAGAAGTGTTTTTCGAGCTTGAGGTCTTTGTTGTTATAATTATTTTAATCTTCCAATATTTCGAAATTCGATGAATTTCATCTTCAGGGAAATAGGCCTACAATAAAAAATAAACAAAGTACGACTTATTAACTATATCACAGTTTTTTCTAATACTAACAGGTATATTAACACAGAACAAAGATCGCTTACATGTGTATTTTTTTTTTTTTTTTTTTTGGTTTTTCTTTTTTATACGGAGTTTCGTTTTTTTGGTAGCTAGGACCAACTTTAGCTGTTGATGGAATAACCGAACTAATGACCTTTCAGCTACGAATAGTCTGAGCGATTATAGCTGTGAGTATACGCACACATTTTCGATCAAAGCTGCTCCTTTATGCTAATTCTGAATACTATGCCTTGCATAAAATGTAATGTGGTTTCAATTTTTAAGAGTATAGGTGCTGAAAAGATTTGACTTTTGAAAAAACGTAGAACTGAATGAAACCGCAATAAGATGAAAGCATCGCTAGGAATCCCTCGGAGCACAAACAAAAACTGTAAGAACCCAAAAAGACCAAGAGGATCAAGTACTTCGCCTTCGTAGATCTTTATTGGGCGGTGGCGATCACCCGTTACTCTACCCCTCAACACCTCTTGTAACCTCTGGAAAATTTGTGAAATTTAGGTCAATAATCTGAGGAATTATAGCAGCGAGTATAAGCTCACATCTTCGAGCAAACTGTTCCTTTACGCTAATCCTGAATACCATGCATTGTATAGAATGGAATGGGATTTCAATTTTCGATATAAATGGGGTTTCGATTTTCACATAGTTGCTGAAAGGATTTGACTTTTGTATGAAACCGCATTAAGATGAACGCATCGTTAGGAATCCCTGTGAGCTCAAATAAATGCTGTTCTAAAGCAAAAACCCATAAAGACTAAGAGGATCTAGTACTTCGCCTTTGTAGATCTTAGGCGGTGGCGATCATTCGTTACTCTACCCCGTAACACCACTCATAACTTATGGAAAATTTGCTGAAAATTTAGGACAAATTTTCCAGATTGGTGATGCAGGAAGTTAGTCGGCTGGGATCGGTCCACAATAACGGAGAGGTTGATGATTCAAATTGAAACAAATTTCCATCTGTATATAATGGTATTTCAAACATTCACGGAGTCACAGAAAAAAGAGGAAAACTGGATAGACTAATTGTAACTAACATTCAATATAAAAAATTCGATTGAAATGCCTATTTTAGATTGAGAAAAATGCAGTTAGGGACAACTAGGGTTTAACTCTAACCTTCAATATTCATTCTTTCTATATTGTCACTAGTAGTATTCAGAAATGTGGCAAGTTATTTGGAGGATGGTCCAGAATTGTCTAGAGAAAGACAGTTGCAGTGTTACTTTTACTTTTTTTGAGTTACAGCGCTTGGTCAAGTATCATACGGGTTTTATTCTGGACCGTACACCCACTTCTTGTAAGAAAGGAAATGTAGTTGTTGTCAAATAATGAGCGCTTATCTTATTATCCTTGGCGACTCGAATATTTTGAGAACGGGAAAACTTGAATAAATTATCGACAGAGTCGGATTAAAAATTTAGGGATAAGTTAGGTCATGCTGAATTATTATCTAACCTAGCCTTTAGGATACATAAAATAGACTGTATACATACCTTTTAGGATTCGGTGAACGACTTGTAAAAGGATTCATAACCATTTGTTGTTGTGCTGTTACTGAGGCTGTTGGCATTGTTGTTGTCGTCGTTGCAGAAGTTGCATAAAAATTATCCGTTATGGACATATCACAGTTGGAACTATTAGAAAAACTATCATTGCTGTCTTGATCGTAACTTAATATAAAGTCTCTGTAAAATGAAAAAAAAAAAAACGATATAAAAATAACTCTCAATATGGAAATTAAAAGGAAATCAACAACTTACTCTTTAAGTGGCTCATCATCACAGCAATCAGACTTAATAACAATAACACTACTACCACTACTACTTGAGGTTTTAGTACGTTTCCTTTAAAAAATCGAGACAAACAAAGGATTAGTACCCATCTAAAATAAATATAAAGCATAAAAACACTTACCTATGTTCTACAATACTAAATTCTTCATCGGTTATATATTTAAGCACATGAAAACAAAAGAACATTATGTCTTCGCCACGTTTCAAACGATCGGGCAGCTGATGGCCAAACAAATACCAGTCATAGGCCAGCGTTAAATAGGCCATTTGTAGAGCATTTAAATTCTGATGAATAAGACCATCGGCCCATAGCGATAGCCGTACTAGGGATATAAACAGCGGTGTTCGATCCCAGCCACTAATGCAATGTATCAGAAGACCTGAATTTTCTTCTTGTATATATTTTAGGCAGGCCTTTAGATAGTTTTGTGTTATTTGCACCAAATCCCATTGTTTGTAGTCACTCCAGTTAATATTCAAATCAGCTGTTGGACCAACTTTCGGTACACTTATAATGGCATCATTAAATGATTGTTTCCAATTGTAATATAGATTCTTGGCCATATAATTATTGTCACGAAATTTCTTAAAGAATTCACAGCCAGGATAGGGTAGCGATAGTATATTGAATTCTTCGTAGTGATTTTCTGGATCAGCCTTTTCCGATGAAGAGACCCTGGAAAGAAATAGGAGATAAGGAAATTTGTTATATAGGGATATTGAAATTCATTGGATTATATGAATAAAAGTTACTTTTCTTATGAATACTTGAAATCTTTACGTATATAAGGTGAGATACAAAAACTACAACAAAGTCAAACGCCATATTTTTATATATTTCTTAATTTCATTGAAAGCAAAAAAAGCAAAAAATGTTGGAAATAGCATCGAATTTTAGAATAACTTTAGATTTTAGATTGACCACATTTGGCAAGAATTATGGCCTTCAAACGGCCGATGAAACCGTCGCACGCTCCCGAATGTTGCTCTGTTGTAATCTATTGCGAGTCTTAATACCATATTTTCATAATTTCGTGGGTAAATGTGACTAAGATGACTAGAACCAATATGCACAATGTTGTAGAACCCATTATGAAGTAAAAAAACCAAATTTATTAGAAAATGTGGGTTAAATCGTCAAAATGCCGAATATGCGATGGAACCGTTATATGTGCGCTATAGGAAAACGTGGACCTAGATATTCAATGTCCTGCCACCCATTACGAGCTACAAATACCAATTTATTGTCAAATTTGTAGAAAAATGTGGTTAAAACCATCAAAATACCGAATAACGGGAGGTACCGTTACACGGGGCTATACGAAAAAGTGCACCTATATGTACAATGTTCCTCCATCGGAGATAGAACCCATTACGACAACAAATACCTTTTTTAGACAAATCCGTCGAAAAATGTGGCAAAAATTATCAAAATACCGAATATTGGAAGGTACCCTTATATAGGGGTTATACGAAAACGTGGGTCTATGTATACAATGTTCCGCCACCGGAGCTAGAACCCATAACGAACTACAAATAACGATTTTTAGACAAATCCGTGGGAAAAATGTAGCTAAAACTATCAAAAATACCGAAGGTCAGCAGGTACCGTTACATGTAGGTTATACGAAAACGTGGATTTATAAGTACAATGTTCCGCCACTACCAATTTTTAGAAAAATTTGTGGTAATATGTGGCTAAAACTAATATAATTTCGAATTTCGGGAGGTACCGTTATATGGGAGGCTATCCCAAAACGTGGACCGATGTACTCCCTCTGATTGGTTTATATATAATTACATGAAATTGTGTCAATATATTTTCCTATAGTTAATATTCCTTCTTAATATTCAATTAGCATACATCCAAAAGCATTGCATGTCAACTAAGAAAAAAATGGGCACTTCATTAAAATTGTATGGCAGAGCAACCCCACTAAGGACTTTTTAAAATTTAGGAACTTCCCCATCCTTATTGAATGGATGCATGGAATGCTAGGTAGCAGGGGAAGCAGAAGATAATTATCGCCGTCAATTCGAAAACTATTAAATTGAAAAAGAAAACACCTTGAAGAAGGGGACACCTTTTTGAAATCGTACTTTTCTATCGCCTTAGAACGGGATTCTAAGGTTCCAACTTCTGGATCGTTTGGTTAAAGCATTAACAAAAATATGCTAAATATGCATAACTGGACAGGTGGTGGTTAAAATCCTAAACAAATCAGATGATCATATTTACAGACTTTTCCAATATGTTGAAGAGAACAGCCTTCCTACTCATTCAATGATTTCTAAGGAGTATATTTCAGTAGGTCGATTTGTAGTATCTAACAGGAAAAACTGAACGGGTAGCGAAAGTTCCCCTAATCTCATGACAATATATACAAAGCGTTCCAAGTTGGCTCCTAGCTACCAATAATAATGCATAAAGATTACTAGATTTTTGGAACCGGTGATTATATACGAGTATATCGAGAATCAAACACTCACTAGTCAATTACTGTAAACATGAAATAATTTTTATATAATTTTATAATTTATATATATATATATAATTTTAATTAAGCTTTGCTGAGTTGCTGGTTATAGCAATATTAAAGTATTAAAATGGATTTCTCAATTGAAGTGACTGTTAAAGCGCCGATTAGCTATGGCAGTTGGCAACTAGTTGTTAGATCGATCCGAGAGTTATAGATATACTAGAATTAAGCCAAACAATTAAAGAGCCATTAACTATTTCCATTTTTTTAATTCCTGATAATCTCGCATATTTACATGAACATTGACCCATGGCAAAAAGGTGCTACTTACTTAAGTAATAATATATAACAATCATACGCAAAATTAACACTTACGCCATAAAATACTTGATTTTCCTTTTTTCCACCATCAAATCGACAATTGCCGACACATTCAGTGCATTCAACAATTGTATGTCACTCTTAATCACTTCATCGTATGAAAAAGGCGAAGATTCATTCAAGGCATGATTCATCAAAGAGTCTTCATTGTTGTCGTTGTTCTCATCGTCGACAATATGATTCCCCCGATCGCTGTAGTTTGTGCCGTTCAAACAGTCGTAGGCATAGTCGACCACCTTGCGTCCATATGTTTCGGGCATTACGGATATGGTGGCCGATCGACAAATATACTTGCCACGATACATAATCACAGGAACAGCAAACCGTTGACGACACCGTGCATATTTGGCCATGGTAATGAGTTCACGTATCTTATTGACGTCATACAAGTCTTCATAGATGGTATGCTGATATGATGTTGAGGTGGATGTGGTGCCATTGCCACCGCCGCCACCACCATTTAACCCCACGCTGGTATTTGGTGTTGTTTGTGGCATTAAATGTTGAGGATATTGCATTTGTGTGGAAAAATACGGATGCGGCGGTGCTGGTGCTGCTGTTGGTAAGTTGTTGGGGACTCCGTTAGTTGTTGTTTGTGACATGGACCCGTTGGCAAATGTCACAAAGGCATGTATACCATTATTGGCTGTTCCCATATTGAGTGCTGTCGCCGTTGAAGACGACAACGACGACATAGAACCATTACTGCTGGTGGTATTAGCTGTTGTTGAGTTATTCGCATAATGGAGATGATGTTGATGGTGGAATCCATTTATGCTGCTATTCTGTGGCGTTGCATTTTGTGAGAAAATATTCGTATTGTTGGCGGTGATCGTAGATGCCATGTTGTTGGGTCTATTGTGCTCATATTCTGGTATAAAAATCCGACCCGGATAACGTGGACTGAGGATTCCATTTGTATTTTCTAGTTCGATCAGGGAATAGTCTTGTTTAAATAGGAATTCACATTTTTTCGTAATGTCTTCTTCCTGAAAAGAGATGGAGAAGATTGAAAAATATCGAAATAACCTTCATATAATGAGTTTAATATTAAACAATTGAAATTAAGACCTATATGATATTTGTTTATTTTACACCAATTAAAATTCCTCGGTCGTAAAGATCATCTTCGCTTGGCTCAGCGTAAAATCCAATGCCAATTTAGCCATGTCGCGTTGACGTTTGAATATTTGAATTTGGGGTTTGCCATAAATGTTGGGGAATACATCTTAAATATTGGGCTCCTTTTGTAATCCTTCGAAAATGTTAAATCTTTAAACTGTGTACTATCAAATCAACTTGGAACAGGCCTATTGGCTTTGAATAGTGAAATTATGTGAAAACTGGCAGCGAGTTCGAAAAATGTGTAAAAAATTGTATAGGCCAAAATTGAGGATTATTTTTTATTATTTTATATTATTTCCTTTGAAAACTTCCCCAAAAAATGAACTAATTTTACTTAAACTGGATACGTGTTAGATTAGGAGTAAAAAATGCAAACACATAATTCTCACTTGTAATATATAAATTTCGAATGTAATTATACCCTACAACACTATGTGTTGGGGTATTATAAGTTTGATTGGCCCAAAAATTATGTAACACCTCGAAATATAGGTTTCCCACATAGGAAAGTATATATGGATCTTCCTAGCTCGCCGAGCTGAGTCGATCTAGCTATGTATGTCCGTCCGTCCGTCTGTCCATGTTAATTTGTAATCGCTCTACAGGTCGCAATTATGGCCCGATCTTCACGAAATTTAGAATGGAGGTGGGTCTGGGATCAGAATAGAACCCTATTTCTTTTGGAGATGATCGCTAAATGTTTAGGGGTTGAAATGGACCAAATACTGAAAAAATTTCGGATTTTGCAGTAGCTATACAGGTCCAATTATAGACCAATCGACGCGGAATTTCGCATGTAGCTAGAGTTTAGGGCGGGGAAGAAGCCTACCAATTTGAATGGTCATCGGATTATACTTAGCGGGTAAAATAGACCATATCTTTTGTGTTGAAAAAATTCAAAATTTTTCTTTAAACCGCTAATATTTTAAATCCCGGCGAAATCACAAAGCCATGACAAGGTTACTTCTGATCTTTACATTGATGTTAACATCCAACAAAACGGATATATAGCAAAATATGTGCGATATATACGTTTATCAAAGAAGATATGCTTGAAAAATCTCTTATATGTCGAGAACGGCTGAACTGATTTCCACAGTTCTCATTAATTCAGAATGGCCTCTTGGCAGGAAAGAAAAAACGTCTAAAAAAATCTAATAAAAATATCTCTCTAAAGATGAAAATATTGATTTTGTAAAATTTTCTCATATATTTTCAATTTTGTCATATTTTTGGCATATTTTCATTTTGAATTATGTGGCGTTTCCACTACACTTGAATCGCTCTCTATTCGTTGTTTGACCCTTAACTATGAAAAAACAACTTAATTCTTCACACAAATTTTATAGCATGTTTCCATTGAAAACCGAACAACGTTGTTCGCTCTCAGAATTAGGTACACGAATTAAACCGTTCATACGGCACGATTCGTAATTCATAGTAAAATAATTCCTTTTTTCAAAAATTTTGTTTGTTGATTTTAATGGGAATTTATACGAAAATACATGAAATTCTCACTAATATGAATAGAAGAAATTATTGTTTTCCTCCCAAAGATTTATTATATCATTAATTTTACAATTTTCATTCACGATTTCAACTTTTTCTGTAAATGTTGACATTTTGAACACATTTTTGTGTTTTTCCATTTTTAAATTCTGCTGGAGAGACACTTGTCAAACATTTCATCTGCCGATAGAAACATTTTGAAAATGTTACCTCTTTTGTTTGCATTTTCTGTGGAAATTTTAACTCGTGGACAAAATGCGTACCTCGAATGAGAGAGAAAACAAAATTTACTTACGTTTGAATGTACATACGCCATTCAACATTGTAGTTTTCATTCATAATTTTCAGTCTTCCCAAAAATTTTTAAAAATTCATCAAATTTTTCTATTTTTTAATTTTTGAATGTCATAATTTATTTTTTCGATAAATGCTCTCATTTGTTAGGGATGGGACATTTTTTCGTTGTTCTGAGAGTGATTTGATTTGAACAACGTACAAATATGAGTGTTCGCTCAGGAAATTTTGTGTGAAGAATTAGGTAGTTTTTTCATAGTTAGGGGTCAAACAACGAATAGAGAGCGAATCAAGTGCAGTGGAAACGCCACATTACTGAGCGAACACTCATATTTGCAAGTTGTTCAAATCAAATTACTCTCAGAACAACGAAAAAATATGTTCCATCCCTAACAAATGAGAGCATTTATCGAAAAAATAAATTATGACATTTAAAAATTAAAAATAGATAAAATTGATGAAATTTAAAAATTTTTGGGAAGACTGAAAATTATGAATGAAAACTACAATGTTGAATGGCGTATGTACATTCAAACGAAAGTAAATTTTGTTTTCTCTCTCATTCGAGGTACGCATTTGGTCCACGAGTTAAATTTTCCACAGAAAACTGCAAACAAAAGAGGCAATATTTTCAAAATGTTTCTATCGACAGAAAAAATGTTTGACAAGTGTCTCTCCAGCAGAAATTAACAAGTAAAAAAACATTAAGTTCGGCCGGGCCAAACTTTTAATACCCTCCACCCTAGGGTAAAAGAACATTAGAAAAAATGTGGCAAAAAACATTAAAATGCGAATATCGGGAGGTACCGTAATGTAGGGGCTACACCAACACGTGCACCTATAATTACAATGTTTCGCCACACGACCTAGGACCCATTATGACCCACAAATACCAACTTTTACACAAATCAGTGAAAAAATGTGGCATAAATCATCAAATTACCGAATATCGGGAGGTACCGTTATATGGGGACTATACCAGAACGTGGACCTATACATGCAATGTTTTGCTACATGCTCAGGGACCCGTTGTGACCTACAAATACCAATTTTCAGACAAATCCGTGAAAAAATGTGGCATAAATTATCAAAATACCGAATATCGGTAGGTACCGTTATATGGGGGCTATACCAAAACGTGGACCTATACATGCAATGTTTTGCCACACGCTCAGGGACCCGTCATGACCTACAAATACCAATTTTCAGACAAATCCGTGAAAAAATGTGGCATAAATCATCAAAATACCGAATATCGGTAGGTACCGTTATATGGGGGCTATACCAAAACGTGGACCTATACATGCAATGTTTTGCCACACGCTCAGGGACCCGTCATGACCTACAAATACCAATTTTCAGATAAATCCGTGAAAAAATGTGGCATAAATCATCAAAATACCGAATATCGGGAGGTACCGTTATATGGGGACTATACCAGAACGTGGACCGATATATCTCATTTTCAATACCAACCATCCTAGGGACAATACACACACTTGTGCCAAATTTCAAAGGTCTACGTCAAATAATGTGGGCTCTATCGTGATTTCAACAGACAGACGGACAGACAGACAGACAGACGGACATCGCTAAATCGTCTTAGAATTTTATGCTGATTATGAATATATATACTTTATGGGGTCTACGACGAATATTTAGAGGTGTTACAAACGGAATGACAAAGTTAATATACCCTCCTACCCATGGTGGAGGGTATAAAAATGGAAAAACACAAAAATATGTTCAAAATGTCAACATTTACACAAAAAGTTGAAAACTTGAATGAAAATTGTAAAATTAATGATATAATAAATCTTTGGGAGGAAAACAATAATTTCTTCTATTCATATTAGTGAGAATTTCATGTATTTTCGTATAAATTCCCATTAAAATCAACAAACAAAATTTTTGAAAAAAGGAATTACTTTACTATAAATTACGAATCGTGCCGTATGAACGGGTTAATTCGTGTACCTAATTCTGAGAGCGAACAACGTTGTTCGGTTTCCAATGGAAACATGCTATTAAACATTTGGTAATATTTCTACAGCTAACAAAACTAAGTAGTTAGGATACCAGGATATCATATACAGATCGCATTTATGGCCCGATCCTTACGAAATTTTGCATGGAGATAAGATGAGGGTCAGAATAGAGGCCTACTCCTTTTGGAGATGATCGCCATATATTTAGGGGTTGAAATGGACCAAAAAACTGCAAAATTGTCTGCAGGTCGTAATTATCGCCCGATTCTCACACACATTTGAATGGGGGTTAGCGGACATTACAAAAGCCAAGCAGTTTTGGATGGCCATCCAAAAATATTCAATGTGTGAAATAGTTTGCCATCTTTTGTAGACAAAATACGAAAATGTCCATTCCAGTGACGTTTTTGAGAATTCACAAATACAGGAAAGACGCACTTCTGAATATTTCGTTAACGCTGATTTCGTTGAAGAATATAGCCAAATGTCTGTATCTCATATAGATGCGTTTCAGTCAAAAACCAATAATAAATGTTAATCTTTTGCCACTTATGAGAGATTATAGGTCTTTGGGAAATATTGGTTCCAGATCTAGGAAGACCATTTACGTGCAACATCTGCCAATAAATTGGAAATGAGCAAATTAGTTTAAGTTGCATTTATTCGAAAATTAGAAAACGGAACCTGATAGTTTTCTTTTATTATTTGTCACAATATCTTGTGGAATTCTTTCGAGTATCTCGCCTATATAAACTGTATCGTTTATTATAGTGTTGTAGGGTATTCAACGGTCGGCCCCGCTCGACTGTAGCCTTTGCTTACTTGTTTTATTTTAATTTTACTATAAAAAATTACTAAAACTAGATATATGGTTTATTTTGAGAAATTTTGTGTAGAATATTTCTTTCTTTGACATGATGAAATAAATTAGGAAATATTTTTGTATTTTTTGGCAACATTGATATAAATTCTTTCTTGATGACTTACAAGGTGATGACTTATAGCAACATTTTGTGAAGAATATTTTTTTCTTTGCATAAAGTACAGCCCTAAAATGTATATTCAATGTTAAG